CTCGTCATTGACTTTTGACCGTTGGTTATTCTTAGCACAAAGCGAGGATTCGGGAGTGGCATCATGCTTTGTATTGTTATTATCTATTGAAGAGTGCCACGCGAGATTCGATCTCTTTCTCTTCTTAAAGGTTGGTTTTCCTTGAACTACAGCTGGCAGCTCGGGGCTGCAGTGAGTCACCCTGGACAACCACCACCCGCTACTACATACATACACATAGTCATACAATCGTTCCAGCAGACTATCCCCTTGCTGAATTCAATCAACTCTACCTTAGTATATGCTCACTTATATGTGAGATAAGTTCTATAGTGATACCTGCAATCTGGGGATTTAAATGGTTCTGGTGGATTCTTGACATGTTGACGAGCAAGGACTCGTTATCTTGCGGGTACCGTGCTGAGTGGCCCCCGCGGCCAAAATATGTGTTGACCTTTGCTTCAGTCGATGTCTTGAGTCATTGCTTTGCTACGATGTGCAGTGACTTCACTTGACTAGCCATCATACAGTCCAAGTTACAGCATTGCAGAGTGGACCTTGAATAGTCTATTAACAGACACAGCATTTTGTGAGCCGTGACACCAAGCTTGCTTGGTCTTGCCACCATACTCTTCTTGGTGCTGGCCCGAATCACCCGCAGGCCTTCTAGAATCCGTGGACGTTTCGGACCCTGACAAGAGCTCGGCAGTAACGTACTGTAACCAGCCTTAGAGCAAGGCCGCCAAGGCCAATCATACCACTCAGCTTCCAGCAATCCTCCAACCAAAGTGCGATGTTATATTCGCTCGGGCACTTGAAACGCGTCAGGCCATGTTTGAAAATTACATTCAGGGGCAGTTTCTTCCAGTCCTTTCCGTCAGCATCATGTGGAATGCACACCAACATACTAACTACATAGGTACGGAAATCCTTGGAGAATAAGTAGCCAACCTGCTGCGGTCGATGTCGCAGTCGAGTGTTTGATGTTGGATTGGGCCCTCTTGTCGAATCATCGGTGTCTATGCGTCCCCTGTTCCCTTTTTCTGCCCGTCATCTGCAGTGCTAGCGAACCCATAGTGGATCGATCGCTCAGGTGATGATACTGAGTAAGTCTGCAGTCGTACGGGTCTTGGAAATTGGATCGACCGGCTGCCGAATAAATTGGTGGGAACCTGGAAGAGCGTCATACAAGATAATAATAATTAATAAGGCGAAAATTGTTCATAGCTAACTAGTGTCCGTTCGACCAAAAAACGGAGTTCCGGGTTAGATCAGGCAATTTCCATGGTTCACAATGCGGACAGATATCAGACATCAGATTCCCATCGTTCGCGACATCTAGACAATTTGTGCATAGTACAGAGACACTGTAGAATGGAGGTAACCGAGCAAGCAACCGGAGTAATTCGTTGTCTAGCTGTTTGTTGGCGATAGGGATGATTATTGGCAAGCGATCGACGGGGCGAGGCTCGGTGGATGCCCTCAAAAACCGACGGCGGCCCCTGAGCAAATGGTAGACTAGAAGAGGGAGGAGAGGGGGAGGGGAGAAGAGGAGGCAAGAGTGTCAGCGTTGCTAGTGGCCGACACTAACACTAAACCATTTCATCGCGACTCACTCTCTTGCTCACTTGATTCCCCAATTCTCGACCCTGAAACCTCCCCTCCTCTCTTCTCACCCCCCAAAATAACGCCGTCTCCCTTTCTCTTCTTCTTTCCCCCCCCCCTCTGGCCTTCCCTTTCCCATCATTTATCTGACCCCCGTTCAGATCACCCAAACGACGAGCACAGGCGGTGATCACCTCTACTGACGGAGCAGAAGCGCCAATTCGACCCACGCAAGATATGCTGTCGCCATTGACGGCCCCTCTCCCGACTGCTCATCTTCCTTATCGCGTCTCGCTCTCGAATTAACCCCACCGTTCTTGTCGCGCTCATCAACAACCCCCCTCGCCCTATTAGCACCCCTGACGGCTAGATCTTCTCGAGGAATGTGCCAGCGGACTGCTTGAACAACATCCACCATCGCAATTTGAACAATCATAATGGCCTCAGAAAGCTCCGATAACACTCCATCGCACGTCCATTCGGACTCGACAAACACTGTGTCGCATGACACCGACTCAATGGTCACCGTACCATTGACCTCCAATTCAGAAGACACACAACCCGACTGGCGGACACTGAATATTCCTCCCACACCGATCGACATAATTACTCCGACAAGCGGGAACTCAAGCGACGAAGAGACTGACGCAAGAACCACACCGATTCAAGACCCACAAACATTCGAGTTACAGCCAGTTGCATACCGCGATGATTCCAGCTCGACTCGATCCCGCCGCAGTAGTGGGGAACATGATCGACAAGATGCGGTGGATTGGGAGGAATTGGAGAAGACGGAAGAACAGGAGCCCCGTTGTGAAGGATCAGACGAGGTATGTCTTTCAGAATGCGCTGTGGGAGTCACTCACAGACTGACATGGGCCAGTCAACCGCTCTGCTTTTAGCACGTCTTGAACAGGAGAACAATGCCCTGGCGACCAATCCCAAATCGGGTCTACCAAAGAAGACTCATGCACAGCAAGTGTCGCAAAGACCGTCTCGATCTCAGTCCCTGCATCAGATCAAGCGCCTGATCGACGAGGACCCCCGGTCGTCCCTCCGATACTCGCAACTACCTCCTCCGCCTATGACTGAGTTGGAATTCTGGGCAGCCTTGGTCGCGGACTATCCACAGACAGCCCAGCGCCTTCCAACCTTGACCTCGAACAAGATTAGAAGCGGTGTTCCTCCCCCACTCCGCGGCGTCGTGTGGCCCAGCTTGGCTGGTGCTCGAGACTCGACCTTGTTATCAGAATATCAGAGGCTCTGTGGCGAAACAAGTCCGTATGAAGGGTTGATCGGCAAGGATATAGGGCGTAGCTTCCCCAATGTGGAGATGTTTCGTGACCCCAATGGTGAAGGACAGCAGATGCTGGGTCGGGTTTTGAAATGTTTCAGTCTCTACGACACGAAGATCGGCTACTGCCAAGGACTAGGCTTTGTCGTTGGTCCCTTGCTTATGCACATGACGGATGCAGAAGCATTCTGCGTGCTTGTGCGGTAAGTCCTCCACCACGCGGAAATCTAGCTTCAATACTAATGGCTCCAGGTTAATGGATCATTATGACTTGCGGACTTGCTACCTCCCAGACCTCTCGGGCCTTCATCTTCGAGTGTATCAGTTCCAGAACCTCTTGTCTCGGTTACGACCGGGATTATTTGCACACTTGGAGGCGCTCAACGTGGAGCCTGTATATGTGTCGCAGTGGTTCTTATCATTTTTCGCAGTCGCATGCCCTCTTCCAATGCTTCTTCGCATTTACGATGTGATCTTTCTTGAGGGAGCTTGCGAGACCTTGATGCGCGTGGCTCTGTCACTCATGACGCGGAACGAAAAGAAGATAATGGCTTGCGCCGAGTTTGAGGACGTCATGCAGCTTCTGTTGTCGAGAAGTCTCTGGGATACGTATGTGAATTGTCATGAATACTTGGAAGTTTCAACTAATGATATACAGTTACGCTTGCCATGCAGATGAATTCGTTAACGACTTCGTCTCACTCACGTCGCTGGTTACGAAAGAAAGTCTCCAAGCCTTAGAAGCCAGCTACAATCAATCCCAGGGTGTGCCGACCGGTATCTCTTTTCCCCAGATGCAAGCAACGGCCTCACGCTTCCTGGGGCGGCTCTGGGCCGGCTCTTCCCACAACTCCACCAAGTCGGTTAATCTCAACCCTAACGCCGCTAGCGCGGCTATCCGGCGATCGGCGTCTAAACAAAGCATGACATCCACACTTAACTCGGTCGAATCGACATCCGATGCCAGCACAGCACCGACAGAGCTATCGACGGACGCACCGAAGCCGCGCGCAAAATCTGCAATGTCGCAACATAAAGATCGTGATCTTCATACCCAGATCGAGGATCTCTTGATGGCTCTGAGCGATCTCCAGCGCCAACATGCGGATCTCACACGTGAGCTGCAGCAAGAGCGAGAGGAACGCGAGGAAGACCAAGCGCTGGCCAAGTCAATGCTGCAGTACATCAAACAAACCAGCGATGAGCCTCCAATGGACCTGGTCCATAAGGCAGACGCACGCTTCGCCACGGTAGAATCTGCCAAGCATGTTCCGATGGATCAGACCAAGCAACAACTTCGTGATGACCTCAAGCGATGGAAGGAGATGCATGCCACGGAGGCCAGTCGGTGCTCAGGCCTGACCCGGCGTATTGACGAGATTGACAAAGACAATTCGTCATTGCGGGAGCAGCTCCGCGAAGCCCGTGGCCGCATTCAAGATAGCTATCGGGAGCGACAGCGTCTGGAACGCATGGTGCGCGAGCTGCGGACTGTCAAGACCCGCAATTCGGATACTCCGCCGGAATCATATGGATCTCCCACGAGCGACACAAGCGAAGGATATACGAGTACGGGTCTGCGAGAACTCAAACTGGTACGCACGAATTCGCAGAAGAGCCAGAAGAGCACAACTTTCAACAAGCGGTCGAGCAGCTTGGGGCTGCAATCAGTCCTGGCGACGGAAAACAACAAGCCGGCCGCGGAAGAAGCATTGCTTTTGGAACTGGTGAATGCAAAGACAGCCGAGGCAGTGGCACGCCAGGAACTCGAGGAGGTCAAGGGAGCGCTCGACGCACTGCGCAAGGTGGTTTCGCGAAATGGCCAAAACACAGAAGCTCGACTCTCGTTCCTGGGCCGGTCATCATCTAGTCTGGGTATACCTTTATCCAAAGCACCCGCAGAGCCTGCCAATGGGGGCGGGCTCTTCAGTGGCTGGGGACGACGAGCGGTGTCAACAAGCAATGAGACTTTTGATGGTCGGTAGGGAATTGAGAATTAAGAATACACCTGGAACTCCGGACTATGTATGTGCTTGATGCGGGACTATATCACGAGGTGTTTCAGATTGGTGTAGACGAGATTCGGTGTCGGACTGTTATGATATCCATGTATACGTATATTTGTATAGCTAGACTAGAGTTTTTGCATCCTCTTACCTTAATTTCATGGCCAAGAGAAAACCAAAAAAAAGAAGATGATGAGATAGTATAATACCTGAGCCATACATCCTCGATTCTCTTCCGGCTCCGTTGGATGCATCATGGAAGCGTATACCCTCCATCAATCACAAGATTCGCCCCAGTCATATAACTCGATGCATCCGACGCGCAGAACACATACGCCTAACCAACCCCAACGAATCCTGTCAGCATCCGCATTTGCTTCAAGGTTTTACAAGACGCAGCCAAAAAGGGCAAAAGAGCTTACCCCCTTCAACTCATAAGCGTCCGCCATCCGCTGCGCCGGGATCATACCAAACCACTTCTCCCGCCACTCCTGCGGATGGATGTCCAAGATATCCGTCTCGATGAACCCGGGCGAGATGCAATTCACACGACAGAAATCCACCCACTCGACGGCCAGGCATTTGGCCAGTTGCACGACGCCCGCTTTGGAAGCATTATACTAGCCCGGTCCCAACGAAGACATATTCATCAGCGCAGCCCTTGGATCGCCCATTTCCCAAGCTGCGGTCCAGCTCACTCCGATCTCATCACAGGAAGACTCTGGGGAAGGAAGAACATACAGCAGCCTGCCTCTGCGGCACATTCACCAGCGTCGCGCTGACCGACGCCGTGAAGATAACATTCCCATGGCCCTGGGCCTTGAAGATCCGCGCGGCGGCCTGGGCGGTCCAGAAGGCGCCGTCGAGGTTGACCTTCATGATCTCGTGCCATTGGGCAGGCGTGTACTCATCCGCCGGGACGTTGGAGACAATCCCCGAGTTCACCACGATGATGTCGAGCCGCGAGAAGTCGGTGGCGATCTGTTGGATGGTGGCGGCGATGGAGGCTTGGTCGGAGACGTCGGCGCGGTAGGCGCTGGCTTTGATGTTGTGGGCGGAGGCCAGGGTCGATGCGAGGGTCGTCGCGGTTTCCGGGGAGGAGCTGTTGTAGATTATTGCGATCTTTTTTTGGGGGGAATGAGATTGTTAGCGGGCGGGATGGTGTTGGGTTTGGAAGGGGGTGGAGGCGGCTCACGTCGGCTCCTGCTTCTGCTAGGGCTGTCGAGACTTCCAAGCCGATGCCACGGGCGCCGCCTGTTGTTTGGTTGGTGAGAGAGAGGTGGATGGTTGGGATGGAGATACTGTTGTACCTGTGATGGCGGCGACTTTGCCGGTTAGGTCGAAGGATTTGAGGACATTCTTGTTTTCGGGCTTGGCGAGGACCATCTTGGGTGCTTGGAAGATGGTTTGTAGGTGCAGGATGTTGGTAGAAGTAAAGTAAAGTAAACTTTGGGTCGAGATCGTGGGGTAGTTTCTATAGAGTGTGAAGGTGAGGGTGGAGAGAATCGGAATACCCCGCCTGTCGGAGGCTCTCCGAGCTCTTCTCTCTTCCACTCTCTCTCCGCCTCCCCTTCGCTGTCTGAAGCTTTAACCCGATACGTCCATTTTCGATCAGTGTCTATTGATGTTGTATCTGAAGATATTCTTGATCTCTTTGATAAGAGTCATGTGTTGACAGTCCTGGTATAGTTGACAGAAAGCCAGTCGGAGCCACCGCAAAAGACGCAGCGAAGACCTGCACTCCCACCACAACAAGCGAAAAGAATGCCCCTCAATCATCACATATAACGCAGAGCCTGGTGCTTCAGGGCCGAGTCTCATGCTAATGCTGGATCTTGAATATGCTATAAGGTGGAAGGAATGTGAATTTCGAGCCTTCAGGCCTAAATGCCACACGAGATCATACAAGACGAATGATGTGCTCCCACACAGAGCTGTGGACAGCATCGAGTAAGTTCAAGCAGAAGGATATTTAACATCTGAGACCCAATGATAGTTGGAATTTCCGGCCTCGGAGCTTGATGGCGCTAAGCGTCCCTACGTGGCGGCCATGGCAGCCTATGATTTTCAACTCCAAGCGCGACACAGGAGCCTCCAACACGAAGAAGCTCATCTAATCAGAGTTAACGATGACAGTCCGTGTCTGTGGCTTGGGCATCGCCAATTAACATGCCCGGGGCACGAGGCGTCAATGCCATTCGATGAACATCTGCCACTAGCCCGCATTGACAGTGTCGATCATCCCACTGGGTCGGAAATGCTGTCACCAGGAGCTCCCCTGCCACTGGCTGCACTAATCACAGCCCCGATAGTGCTTCATCGGATTAGCAACTTTGCGTCATCGTCGCGGGGTCATGAGGCGGTTCATCTGACCGAAAATCTTTATTGTACCTTCTGTTCGTATTTAGACGTTCAAGCTCCCGAAATGTGTGACTTCGAGAATCTGGAACAGCATTCGAATTGACTTTACATCTATAGTCAACACAACCACTGACTGTATCAATGGTGGAGCGCAACATCAGTCTCCTCAGCCTTGATGGCGGGGGAGTTAGGAGCCTCTCTTCACTTTATATTCTCAAGCACATCTTGGAATCTATTGATGGCGAGAATACGCCGCGGCCATGCGACTATTTTGATCTCATCGGAGGTTCGGGCTCGGGCGGGTAAGCTGATCTTGCGCAATAACTGCACAGCAGCATCGGTCGCCAGCTAAACTACTTTAGATTGATCGCAATAATGCTAGGTCGCCTGAAGATGGACATTGACCAGTGTATCAATGCCTACCGCCGACTCCTGAAATTCGTCTTCGCGCGCAAAAGACATATCCCTTTCACAAGCAACCTGTGCAGGCAGTCGAAGTACGATGGACGAAGGGTGGAATCGGCGATGAAAGCAATTCTTCACGAGCTTGGGTATGAGGACGATGTGCTTCTGAGGGACATTGATACTTCGTGCAGAGTGTAAGCATGCAGTCGAATTGATCATTCTCTTCAAGTTGGCAAGACTGACCCGACGAAGCTTTGCCTGCGTTACAGACGACGGATCCAAACGAAACTCTGCCCCCTTGACGAGCTACCCCAGCAAATATTGCTCCAATGAGCTGTTCAAGACCGCGAAGGTGTGGCAAGCAGGGAAAGCGAGTATGTCCACACCACCACTGTTCGACCCCGTTCCGATCGGCCCCAGCAGACGACAGTTCTACAACAGTACCACCGAAGCGAATAACCCGGTGCGGGAGGTCTGGATAGAAGCCAGAGAAATCTGGCCTTCAGGATCGTTGGATAGCCAGATCCAATGTCTGATATCGATTGGAACCGGCGTACCGTCGATCAAGCGGCTCAATAAGTCGATGTTCGGCTTGATCAAGACGATGCCCAAGGACTATGTCGATACGGAGAGGGACATGAATAAGTTCATCAGGGAGCATACCGAGCTGGATGATGCAAGCCGCCTATTTCGCTTTGATGTGCCAAACGGACTGGCGGAGATAGGTCTCGATGGTGTTGATGAGCTTGATACGATTATTGATGCCACCCAAGATTACCTCGCCAAGGAGCTCGTTTATAAGCAGATTCAGCGGTGCGGAATTGCCCTCGGCGGCTTTCGGTAGACCGTCTGCGTTCTGTCTTTTGCCGGCATACTCGCCTGGGCTAGGACGGATGAGAGCGTGCAATTATCCCTCGGGCCTATTCCCGGCGAAAGTTAGTCTATGGATGGTGGTCTCATGTCGAAGAACCGATGCATCAAGAGGCATCAAAGCCCGCAACGAAGGGGCCAATAATCCATATGTGGGTGATCATACTCAACCGAGCAACAATCTCGACGTATGCCTCCACCATCATCTCCTCGCCAACTCAAATATCCCTCACCTACGCCTACACGGGTAGTTGGTGGACTTGACTTAATGTCAAAGCAAAAGATTCGCACTGGAACAGCTTAATGGGTAGGAGAAACGATCTCTGCACTAAATGTCAGTTCAAGCTTGCATAAGAAGAAGGTGCTCTGATGGCCAAGCATTCAGTGCATGCATATTTCGGCTTCAACGGAACAATTTCGTATTTCTATGCAACCATTCCGATGCGTTTGTTTATTGTCTCAATCTCTGTAAAAAAGGCATGACTGAGCTTCTGACATTCGATTCGAGTAGAGTCTGTCGCAATGTTGGGTATAGCACATGACTGCTGGACCATATTCTTATCTCATCGCGAAAGCATCACCCGAGGATAAATGCTTTTGTACCTATTCCACTAATAACGAAGTTGGTCTCTATGGGACCATCAAAGCCACCACATATTGTCTCTGCGATGAGGGCCTTTTCTTGACAGATACACTGTGGTGAACATCTAACATGCGCATATTGTATGTGAAAGTGGATCATAGGTCAACTAGTGTCTCAGGAGCAGTGATTGGTCATTTCATAGGTGTTAATTATTGCTCTTCCTTGCCTCACATACCTTAGGAAGCCCAAGAAAATTGGTATTTCCTGGTTATCTGCTCATGATTTTTTTGGGCAGGCGTTAGTCAAGGTCGAAATAACAATATGGCTTCATATACATTGCACACTTTGATGTGGACTGATCTGAATAGAGATCGTAGTATTGTCTATTCTCTGTAGCGTGCCTAGACAAGCTACAGCACCAAGAAAGACAAGAACCCACACAAATAGCCCACTGTGACGATATATATAGAGTGCTAAGAATACAAAATTTCTAAACAGACATGATCACCTCTCTCCCTCCGATCCCAGCATACTAGAACATAACCACACAGAGTTGTCAACATATTGCCTTGTGTGATTGGAAAATATTCTCTCTAGAGGCAATGCTTAAGCTCTGTGACCGGAAGACGTCGAATACTCGCGCTTGTCGCCTTTCTTGATAGTGCCAGTACCATCTGCATAGATGTGGTGGGTTCGAGGTCGACTACCGTCAGCCGGTGTAATGCGGGCACTGATAACCAGCGCCTTGTCGTTTCGATTGAAGTGAGACTGGTGTACAGGGCTGCTGCCGTCGTTGCGATGCCTATGGCTTATGGATAAGTGATTAAGTACCTAGGAGGAATCTGAAGTGGTACTTACAAGATCTCAATGGACTCGATCTTGCCGACTTTCTAATCGCGAGTTAGCAGAGAGAAAGGTATCAGTAAATCTATGATAGACCTGCCTTCACAGCACCGTTCTCGGAGTAACGCTCAGCGGCATTCCTGAAGTCACTAGGCAGTAGCTCTTTATTGTACCCCAGCCATTTCGCGAGACTTTGACGAGCGGTCGAAAAAGCTCTAGACATGACGAATGTGCTTCAAACTGCTAAAAAGGAGAGAGTTATATATGACTTTGAGACAGGGAAAGCAGAGTTCAGAGCTGATATGCGCAAAGTTAGTGATCCACAGATGCTGAGTGCGAGGACGTTGCGAGACTTTAAATGCTGAGAACATTGCCCATGCCCATGACGAGATGTACTATACTCAGCGGTTAGAGAAAGTCTACAATGCAAGAGGAATAGGACCGGCTGTTTTCATTGGGTTGTCTCGAAGAGCCTCTGGCATTCGAACAGCCGCTGGGTGGATCTCATGTGTTGAAATGTGTTGAATCTAGTCACACATGATGGAACAAAGCGCGCTCCGACGGCGAAAGGTGGTCGCAACCAATGAAGCCTATGTAGCATAGTGCCTGGGTTTGCGCAAAAGAACTCAATGATACTAGAGTATAGCGGCGGTTGCTGTCGAGCTCTCATTGATGGGTAGATTACAGGGATCGTTGAGCCGGTGCCTTATTATGTCTAGCAGGTTAAACTCGAGCGCGTAAATTCCACTGGTCATCTTTGTCATTTTCACGCGGATTGCGCAATGACCTGAGCACCGTTGAATCGGTATGCTCAAGCCAGAGCTTGAAAGCGCCTGCTTGATTTAAAGAATCGCTCTGAGTATTGAGCATGCAGACGTATTGACTGGTTAACAGGTCACATTCGTGCAAAACCTGCTACACGGAGGTTGTTTTCTTTTCCCGTCCCTGCTCTCCTTCAGATGATCGTGCAGCAGGGTCGCATCACGTGATAGAATGATCCTCACGTCCTCCTTTCCCCCAGGTACCTTGCTTCCTTGCCATCTACATCATCTGTACCAGCGCAGGGTGCTGATAACATTTCATATTCCTGTTTTGCTTCAGATAAGATAGTCGAAAGGTGCATTCGCATCGCTCTCGATAATGTTACCGTCGTTCTTACGATCTTTACCTCGGCTTGGACGGACATGGAAGCCCCTCAATTTCCCCAACGCGAATTTCCTCCCGATCTCTCTCAGTCAAAAAGTTGAAGAAGAGACTATGCCAGACTATGTTCCTTCTCGTTATTATCCTGCTCGGATAGGTGAGATTCTTAAGGAACAATATCAAATTGTCGGGAAACTGGGATTCGGAGCTAGCTCGACTGTGTGGCTTGCGCGGGATATGAAGTGAGCATTCCCTGCCGTAAATGAGAGTGACCGTTTGAAAACAAACCTGCTCACGTGCCAAACTTGAAGTTATCGTCGATATGTTACCCTTAAGATCTACATTACATCTGCATCTCTTGGACAGCAATTGGATGACGAGCTCAACATGTACAGATGTATAGAGAGGGGCTCGAAAAGCCACCCAGGTCGTGGCGCTGTTAGATCGTTACTTGACTCTTTCGATATTGATGGACCTGGCGATAAGCATCGTTGTCTGGTACATCCTCCTTTATGGGAGAGTACTTTGACCTTTCTGCATCGTAATCCGGTGCAAAGACTACCTGTGCCCGTCCTGGCATTCATTCTCAAGCGCGTTTTCTTGGCGCTCGATTACTTACATACGGAATGCCAAATCATACATACTGGTATATTTACCAACAATACCCCTTGAGTGCCCCGAGATCCTTAATTCGTGATGCTTACGCTTCAGGTTTATCAGATATTAAGGCCGACAATATTATGTTCGGCATTGGTGATGATTCTGTCTTTGAGGACTTTGTTGAGGAAGAGCTTCAGACCCCTTGTCCGAGGAAAGAGCTTGATGGCAGGACCATTTACGTATCCCGGGAGCTCGGGATGCCTAAGGAATGGGGTGCCCCGGTCCTTTGTGACTTTGGCTCAGCTATGCCTGGTGATGTTGAGCACCTCGAGGATATTCAACCTGATATTTATCGGGCACCGGAAGTGATCCTCGAGGCCCCGTGGACGTATAGTGTTGACATCTGGAATGTTGGTTGCATGGTAAGCGAATGACGCTGATGATCCTGGCTGCGTGCGAGCTTTCTGACGTTCTCTCTTCTCTCACAGATCTGGAATGTGTTTGAAGGCGGATCCCTGTTCACCGGATACGACCCAGAATATCAGACGTATCGAAGTAGGGCCCATCTCGCAGAGATCATTCGCCTGCTTGGACCTCCTCCACCCAGTCTGCTTGCTCGAGGCAGACTAAAGCACAAGTTCTTCTCTGATGAAGGTAAGGTAATCTCCACCGTGAAACGTTCAATGTTTGCTGACCCCGTCTGGCATTACAGGTGAATTCTGTGCTGGTATTCCATTGCAAGAGCCAATATCGCTTGAGCAGAGGGAAACGACCCTTGAAGGGCAGGAAAAGGCCGATTTCTTGCGCTTGGTGCGGAAGATGTTGCAGTGGGACCCTGCTCGGCGTAGCTCAGCGAGAGAATTGTTGGAGGATGAATGGATTTGTAGGCATACTCGCAATTGAACATGAGGGACTTTATAGCGCACAGCGTATTCATGTTATGCTGCATTATCTGCCTTCGAAGCTACCTAGAAATGGTTCGCTCGGTAACCGAGTTACCCCGAACCACGAAAATTCAACCAAGCTCGAGGTCGATCGAACTCTACCTAACTTGGTGAGTAATTCTCCGCAGAATCCTCTGATAGAATCTCGGAACCGACCGCGTTTGCAGCCAGCTCAGATGCACTACACACGATGACGCCGGTGTTTGTTCGCGGAAAAGGGTGACGTCACGCCCACCCAGCCGAAGGTACAAAACAGCTGGTAATTCAACCACACTTCTGGTCCCCCCAAGCACACAAAATCAATCCCAATAAACCAACTTCAAGATGGTTAAAAGCAAGGACACGGTTATCGAGTAAGCATCACAACCAACATACCCACGAGCCACTCGAATAAAAGTAGCGCTGATCCGGGAAAAAACAAAACCCCAGCGAATTCAACGAGCTGGTCAACATGACTCCCAACGAGCTCCGCGATTGGCTCCAAGAGGAACAGTCCCAATCCTCCGGCTGGAGCAAGAACAGTGAGTCAGGCGAGACGATCGGGCATGAGAGGTAAGCCGCACCCTCTCGTTTTTTTTTCTTTTTGCGTCAGGGATCATCCTTGTAGCCCTGCGTGTAATGTCGCATGTATGCTGAGCTTGAGTGTGTCTTTTCCCGCAATTGATAGTGGTCGCAAAATCGTGGACATCCTCGAAAGCAACCCGTCCAAGGATGCCTCCAAGTACTCGGATGAGGACATCGATCATATGCGGAGGGTGGTGTCATACTGCAAGCGGCATCTGGCCCAGGAGGAGACCGCGAAGCAGAACACGGATAGTAAGAGCTATCGGTCGCTGAAGAACTGGGGTCATGATCCGCTGAAGGAATGAGGGACTGTTACTTGTTCTGGAAGGGGTTTTGTTTCTGGGTTGGATGTGTATAAATAGGTTACGGGTACGATTATTGTGTGGATATAGTGTGAGCTTTGTAAGACTGGTCTCGTTGAGCTGTAGCTGTTTTTAGGTGTAATGCTGTTGCGTTAGATGGGTGTTGGGATTGGATCAGCGTCGAGGCGCAGGAGATAGTTAGTCAAGCAGGAATTGTCCTATTTTGAGGCGTTGCATAGTTCTGATCTGACGCCGAAAGGAGGTGTCGAGAATCGCGCTTTGCAGTACCGCTTCTACCTTCTTCTTTTAACTGCTCATTATACTTATAATGCCTGTCAGGATAGATCGAAGCTATGGAACTAGTCGACTCACTAGATAGATCCTCATATATCTCACGTACGGACCGGTCGCACTAACGGCGGTGCTGCACGCAGGCGTCGGCGTATGTCGATCGGCTATTGCCATTAACTCCGTAGAATCATCTTCCTTAGTAAATAATCCCTGTTGGGTGCGATCTCTTGCTCCAAGTGGGCGGAAATAGCAACCATTGCAAGCGAGCCAACGGTGGGAATCGTCGGTTCATCAGCATCGCTTGTGCTTGTAGTCCTTTCGGACTCCCTCTATTTCCCCTCTTCCTCCACAGCAGTCCATCATACCAACAAGACATCGTGTTGTATGATGTATTTGCGGTGCAGAGAAACAAAAATGCTGGCGTAGCTGAGCAGGAGTACGTAATTGGCGTCGCGATAGCTTCACATTACCCCGGCTAGTCCCCGCACAGGCCGCTCGGCTTTGCGCAAGTACACTCTGGCGAGAGCCGAGCTCAGAGGCTTCTAGATCTCTGACTTGGAGGTCTTGGTTTCTCTTGTCAGTTTGCCGACTTCTGGTAATCAAGGTATGTCCCACACCGTAAGGATTGCAAGAACTGGGGTGACCGCTTGGCTGGCCTTTCACATGCTGCAGCGTCGAGGTAATCATTGCACGGTCTTTTGCGGGACACAGGGCATTGCGTTGTGGACGGACTGGGGGCAATCTGGAGATATACGAGACGACAATCTAGTCTGTCTTTATCATGAGCTCTGCTTGCGGCCAAGATTATCCCAAGAACTTGGGGAAAAGGTCAAAACAAAGGTGAAGGCGGAGATGGCATGATCCCCAACAACGTGGGGAATGCCCGCCAGTGTGGCTGCCCGTCAAGGATCGCCATCTTCGGTTAACTCTCCCAGCTGCTTGCTTTTCCCTCAACCTCCCACCAACCCACCAACCCACCAACAACTCTAGCCCCCTCACCCCGGTCACTCCCTCTCCACAGCTCCAGCACTAAATTGCCGATCCTTGATCTTGCTTATCAGCTAGTATGTAACTACTAGTGTGTCTACCAGAACCTCAGCAGCCTGACTTCTACTCGTCCATCGAGGTCCTGATTTCACGATTGGCTGTCATGCCACGATCTGTAGGTCAACAGCTTGGCACCCACCCCCGACTGCATTACTGGCTAAGAAAGACTCCTTTGCGTCTTAGGTGGTCATCCGAATACGATGTACAATCACTGGAAGGCAATTCGCACCCAGAAGAAAAAGAATTAAACAACCCAAGGCTCCACGTGTGCCGCGTCTTGGTGGTGCTTAGCAGGCGGTCCTAATGCCCAATAGCACAAGTTAGCACGATTTCTAAGCGGCATCTTCTCAACACTAGCTGTCAGGACACGCGATCTCACTCTACTAGTTCCCAGTGGTAATCATGGGCAGAATATTCCCAACGATCTCCAATAAGGAACGACTGATCACAAGATCCCCAGCTCCAGCAGGTCGCCTCAGTACTGGACCAGGAATAGTGCAGGACCAAGACTCCACCCTGGCAGCTGAACACACACAGCAAGAAGCGTAGTTCATGCTACTAAGTCTCTGGATATCGGATTTTTTCGTGAATGGTCTTGCCTCGTCACGTATCCCCCATATTTGTTCTTACGCAGTAATGATTACGCCTCTCTACTACTAGGACTCGGTCTAATGAGGGCGCAGCGCGCACTTGGTTGGCTTCAGAATCTGCCGGGCACGTGGCGGAGTGCACCGCGCGGGTCGGTCCTTTGTGCGTGCGACAAGATTCATTTCCCCCCAAACCGAGAGAGCGTTACTCAGACATGGCTATTGCCGTTGGGCCGGTTCATCCGAGGCCATAGTAGCTGGAATCCAGATTCGCCAATTGGAACCCACCGCAAGGCACTCTGCGCGCCATGAGCGCGCGACCGTATCTTCTCGAGCCCCTGACGCTTAATGTCTCTTCGGGGGATAAGTTATGAAATCATGTCCAGCCCATGTTCGGTGGATTTTGCCCCTCGTGAATGAGGGAGGAGAGCTGGCGGCGTTATGCCAGCGCATACTGACTGCCCCTGGCATTCCTGCAGGGCATGAACTCGTAACTTTCGGCCAGGTCCTCGACTCCCATTCGGGCTCTCCGATGGGTTGAGGAACTTGAGCTTGGCCATTGTCCCTATCTCCAACTTTGAGCTCGAAATTTGGCTTGAGCCGCCATTCTACTAGTCACGTCATACGGCCCGAGTGGGTTTAGCTGGCGTGATTTCGCTAATCGGGTTCGTATAGAGTGCATTCGTGGCTTGCGGGGCCGCTTAATTTGTCAATCTATACAAGGCCAAGATTTAGTGACTTAGTGCCCCACGATGGGCCCGGGAAAAGCCTACTGCATCAGAGGCTTTCGTTGAGAATATGACTCTTCAATGTTGGCCTGGGAAATGCCTGACAAGGCGGATCCCTCACTTGCTTGGCCCTGAATGCGGGTGATTTAGTTTTGCTTTTTTTTTATTTTTCCCATTCCTTTTCGCTACATTCTGCTTTCTCTGTTGTCGTTCTTCTTATCTTTCTATGCAACGCGGTCACCTGGGTACCCTCAAGCGAGACTCTACATGCACTGGGGTGACCGACGTCTTTCTCTACCTGTTGACAGAAATCCCGCCCCAATCGCCAAGGCCACTACGCTCGCCTGGCCCCGATGCTGCGGTGTCTCCCCACAATTGGCCAAGGATCTTCTATGTAGCAAGGTGCAAGGTCCCACGTCATTACGTTTCCAAACAAGTTCCCCTCTTACGGAAGGTTTCTCACCTGTCGGATTATCTGCTTCAGAGATTCATTTTCACTGGGTTCTAAAATTAACGCAATGAGCCTCATGGGTCGCTCCACCTTCAAGAATGGATCTCTGAGTGATGAGCCGCCTTTCAAGCTCTTTCCGGAAGAACCTGATATCTGATACGTCGAGCGGATGGAGAATATGTCTGAGCGGTGTCAGGAAAAGACGACTAGCGGTCAGCACCATTCCCAACGCGCCCGATATCAGCGTCAGGCATGCCATGTGCTGGCGGACGTAAATAGTGCGGGTGAAAATGACTCTACTTTTCAGGCTTGCAGTGATGCGAGCATTTTGGTGCACAGTGTGCGCCACAGTAGTCGGCTTCTGAATCGTCCAAGACATGAATCATGACATATATCATTCTTGGAAGCAAAGCTGGCTGTGATCCGAGAAGTGCGCCGGCCAATCCGCTCGAGCTCAATGCTGAATATGCATTTCCGGGGTCTGAACGCTCGTTTCTCTCATAGGCGAGGTTCCAGAGACTGATGTTCTCCCTGGGATGGAGATCCATGGTCGCTTATTCACAGCCTTGGGCCGGCCATCATGCAGAAGTCAATATGCCACGAGGTCAAGGCTCATTCCTTTTCAAGTAGGGCTTGCGATGTTAGATACGAGTGTGAGTTGGTTGCAAATCAGAAATTGAGGTCCGAATTTCCTCCTCGCAAAATTGCTCTCCAAAAAATCGATCTGCTGCTGCGCTAGCGGTCATTTCAGAACTTCGTCGTGTCCGTCATTGGATGCCTCCATAGGTCTCATACTCATATAACTGGGTGGAGATCCGTACAGCTGGGGGATTGCTTGCATTAGGGCTGCTTTAGATCCGAGTATGAACGATGGGTCGGGAAGACCTGTCAAGGCCAGTGCTGCATGGAAGTCACCGAGCCCTGCAAATCAGTATTCCTCGGGGCGAGACAGACCGGAAGGCTGATTTATGGAGACAGAGCAGACAACATGAGCCGAATTGGAATCCTGAATAGGCCAAGGCTAAACATTACAGTCACCGGCTCACTCTGGGTGCTGGTATAAAGCCGTGTGTCCAAGGCGGGAACCCATGTCAGGATAGTCAGTAATCGGTCTGTTCCTTTGTGGTCTTCGTTTCCATTTCCCCTCGTTACTCAATGAATTTCCTTTTGCTCTTATGGCTCCTGGCCTCAGTGGCCTTGAGCAGTCCGATTGCGCACGATCTCTTTCCATTCAAACCGACGTCTCAGCTGGAGGCAAGGGCCGCAAATCAGAGTCAGTCGTTACAGAACTCTCAGGTGCCTTGGAAAGGATTTGACATCAATACAAATTACTATAAGACTGCCCCGGATACAGGCGTTGTGAGGGAGTATTTCTTCGACATCATCAATACCACTCGTGCACCTGATGGGGTCGAGCGGCGGGTGCTTCTTGTCAATGGACAATTCCCAGGTCCAACCATCGAGGCCAACTGGGGAGACACAGTGAAGGTGCATGTCACCAATCGCATGCAGGACAATGGCACTGCAATCCACTTCCATGGGGTTCGACAGCTGAACAACAACCAAATGGACGGGGTAACGGCTCTGACTCAATGCCCTGTACCTCCCGGATCAAGCTACACATATGTCTGGAAGGCCGAGCAGTACGGTTCAAGCTGGTACCATTCGCATTTCTCTCTCCAGGCTTGGGAGGGCGTCTATGGAGGCATCGTGATCCATGGCCCTTCTACGGCTGACTACGATCAAGACCTGGGTGTTCTCTTTCTGAGTGACTGGCTTCATGAGACCTATTATAGCTATTATCAAGAGGATCTCAATAGTGGCCGGCTGCCTACCATGGTGACGGGCCTGTTGAATGGGACGAATATCTGGGTTCCCAAGCATGGCCCTACTGTCGGCCAACGCTTCCAGACTACCTTTGTGCCAGGTCGGAGGTATCGGATCCGTCTGGTCAATACTGCCATGCACACGCAGTTCAAATTCTCGATCGACAATCATGACCTCACCGTGATTGCGGCTGACTTCGTACCAATGGTGCCATTCAAGACGAATCACGTCCCGATTGGAATGGGCCAGCGGTACGATATCATCGTGACTGCCAACCAAAGACCGGATAACTACTGGATTCGCGCGATGCCGCAATCGTACTGCAGCAACAACACGGCGGCCGACAACATCAAAGGCATCTTGCGTTACAGGGGGTCCAACCCGAGCTCGGATCCGCGGTCGACAAAATGGAACTATGGGGGCGACGTCGACTGTCAGGATTTTCCGACGTCGACCCTTGTCCCGAAACTTGCTTTGAACGCAGACCTCGGCGAGGCGAACACGGTAACCTCTGATACTGGCATCGGAGGCATTGGCAAGCCACCGATCTACCTATGGAAGATGGGAGGTGAAATCTTCAATACCTCCTGGAGTGACCCAACCCTACTGCAAACCTCCGATGCTCCGAAGAAGTCCAGCTGGGAGCCAGGCCAGGGAGTGATCCAGGCGAGCGTTGCGGATCAATGGACCGTGCTGATCATTCAGACGACCATTCCTGCCGTTCATCCCATTCATCTACACGGTAAGCTCTCCTTGTCTTTGCTCACGATCTCGTCCTAACCAAGTTCATCAGGCCACGATTTCTACATCCTAGCTCAAGGCCTTGGTACCTATGACCCCTCCACAGTGAAGCTGCAGACAGAAAACCCCACGCGCCGCGACACGCTCAACCTCCCCGCAGCAAACGGCAAGGGTGGGTATGTCGTCATCGGGTTTGAGGCTGACAACCCCGGTGCCTGGCTGATCCACTGCCACATCGGCTTCCACGCGGCGGAGGGATTCGCGCAGCAGATCATCGAGCGCCAGAATGAGTTTGAGGAGTTCCTGGACAGAGATGTCCTGGAAGAGACGTGTAATGCGTGGAATGAGTGGGCCGAGACGAACCCCTACGGGTTCCAGCACCGAGGCGATCATGGGCCATATGAGTCTGGTATCTGATCGGCTTGAAATAGGGGACTTTTGGCCTCTGGCCGAGGTATTCGTTCGTTTGTTCGTTCGTTTGTTCGTTCGTTTTTTCCCCTTTCATTTTGCTTATGACTGATGATGTGAAAATGACCGCACGGGATGGTATGATTTAATGTCTTAATGTTTTAATAAGAGCTTGATGGGTAACACTTTGGGAGGAAATGATTGGGGTGTGCTTGATTCTGTGTCTCGTGGCGATTGACGATAGACATGCAGGGAAAATCTGATCTTGATTGGGAATGTATTCGACTCACTGCCTAGCGATAAATTCATACGTTTACATAACATCATCCGAGCTGTACAGGTGAATTGGACTTGTGTCCGGTGGATTACATCGAGGCCAGATGATACTAGCTCTTCATCTCGAGCTAGGAGGAAGCAAGATGATAGTGTGGGAAGCATCTCTCTCTGCGGGAGACAGGATCTCGTCCCCTGGGCTATACATCCACTCCTGTTTTCGAAGAAACTGCCATCTCGCACATGTCAAGACGCAGAGCACATGTCCCCGATCGAGCGATCAGCCCAGAGCTAGACCCCACCTCAACCTTGATGATACAGCAATAGAGCCCAATATCACCCAAGGAAGGTATCAGGCTGGAGGGGGGGGTGGGGGGTGAGGGGTGAGGAGAAATTTCGACCGAATCCCAGTATAACCCTCAGCTACATGCAGTCCGGTACTTACATCTTCAACATACCCCTAGGTATCCAATGGTAGTGAAAGACCACCCATCCCCCTCCTACACCCACACATACCCTCCACAAGCAACCCACCAACCTAGGCATAACCCAGGTATAACATTCCCGAAATCCCGCACTCTTCCCAATGAGCCGTATACCCACTCGTAAACCTCAAAAAGCCCGAACGTTCACAAGCAATCACAACGGGCGAAAGTAAGAGTAGCGGTATCACGCGAAGGACAGTCCAGTACATACCCCTAAGCCCAGGCCCAGCTAAGCTTAACAGGTAATGTTGCTGCCTAGATGATCTGATCTGATCTGATCTGATCTACCGTGGCTTGGCCCTCGGTGCTGTGCGGTAGACACGTACGTTGAGGTAAGGTGGACTGTACTGTACGGTGGGTTGACGGTTCCTGCATCTGGGCCACGCGTACAGTGATAATGCAGCAATGTTTGGGCTGTACGTGAGACAGGAGGGTTCCTGCGGCTGGCTACGTGGGCTGCATAGCATATAGCAGAGTTCATGGTAGATGCTTTGACAGGTGTGGGATTTAAGGTTGAGGGAGGGCGTTAAGGTTAAGGGATATGCTGGTGCCTACGGTTGAGGGGGGCTGGGGTGGGGTATGGATGAGCTTGTTTTGACTTCGGGCTGGGAGTGCTGGGCTTCTAGGGTATGGTAGCTGTTTATTGGAGGATGTTTGATGCTGCTGGTGTTGAGATTGGTTCGGTATGAGGTAATTTGATCGGAATATAGTAGATCAAACCGGGTAGATTATCTACCTAGATCATGCATGTAGGGTGTAGTATGGTGGGTGGACGTGGTTGAACTAGTTCACGGACGTCCACCATCTATCCACCATACCACAAGGTGCTTGCATGGACAAAGAAAATTGGTAACCAAGAAGTCCACAAACAAGCGGAATGAATGACTACCTAAGCCAAAATCTATGCTCCGCCACCGCAGGGATAATCGTGAACTCCCCCTGGGTGCAAAAGGAAACCCGGCGCGCCGCAGCCTCGATCAGGTCATAGACCTCTTGCTCAGACACTCTTGCCGTCATTCCACACGACGTTCATCTGCTGGTCCCGCAGTAGCCGCTTGCCCTCGCAATACTCTGGCGTTGTCACGTCAATGATCACCCAGTCCGTACTCTTGGTGTGCCGGCCGGCGCGACCCCGCGGCAGCCCGTCAACGACGACAAGCACTTTCTGTAGATCGTATACCACACCGCCAAATAGCACAGCTAGCGCATCGAGATCAAGCTGCAGCACCTCCAACGGCACGGTCAGCTCCCAGTTGCGCCACGGCCTTCGCCCCCGGGGCGCCGGCGAGGCCACCGCAGCTTCGGTAGGTAGCCTCTCTCCCATCGCGCCCGCACTTGCTGGTAGTCGTCCAGCGAGAGATAGACCTGGTGGCAGTAACCCAGCAAGACTTCGTTCCAAGGACTCTGCCAGTAGTTGGTTATGTAGTGCACAAGCCCCCCATCGTGGTCTTTCCACATCGAAACACGGAGAATTTCCAGAACGACCGTGACGAGAAATCCCCATAATCTTCGTCGCCGTCAGGGTCAGGATCCGCCGCCCCGAGCGCTACACGCCGAGCCTGTCCTCGACTGAGCCACTTCTCAGCAACGTGGCGGGATGTATGGCAGACTTGCTTGAAGGGTGGGACGGGGATGTGGAGCCGTTGGGCAACTTGGGGCCGCCGGCCGGGGCCGCCGTCTAAGTATTTCGTGTTCATCGGATAGAGGCTTATGAAACCAAATTCCTTCCACCGAAGAAGCTCGAAGTCCTCGGAGCACATCTCCCAAATTCGAAGCTGTAGCTCGGGTGGAAGCCTAAGGAAGGGATGGAAAGTTGTTAGGCGTTCTGTCCGGGGGAGACTCCGAGTCTCGAACCGGGTTGATGATCTTCATGGCGTAAACTTACGCCACTTTTAGGGTCGATTATAGACGTGAGCCTTGTGCAGTACGTTGGAATGATTTCATCTTTAGGTTTGCCATCGCAATTTATAGACCGTCAAAGGGCTTTCGGATGCATAGGCCTGAATTGCTACATGTGTTCCCTGCTTGGGTGGACTTGCACAAAGAAAATGATGCAAAAGGTGAGTTTCCTACTAGTCTTTTGTTCTTAGCCGACGCTTTCAATAGAGCCCCAAAGCCTCTCGGTTCATTTTCAGTATTTAGAGACCTCGAGTACTGCGTAAAGGGTTTAGTCCGTAGCATAAGGGCTTGACCTGAGGCCAGGCTGGTACCTTCTCCTAGCTGAGCTTCGTGGCCTTTTTAGGGCAAGTGTTCTGTCAAGATGACAGGAAGGATAAAGTCGATAATCATTGCGTGAGAAGAAGTTTTGATCCCAAATATAGGAGCATGCAAAGAAAGCAATCATTCCGATGACAGTTCCTCAAGAAGCTTGTTGCAGCTTGACTTAGATAACATTGGGTGATGACGAGTCTAGTCCATCAACCGCTCATACTCGGAGGCAGATCCTCATCTTGGGTCCCCCAGTCGCTCTCTGCAGTTCCCAGCGTAAGTTCGAGGACTCCACCTTCCCTGAAAAAGTCATGGCTAATCCAGTTTCTTGTCCATGGTTGACCATCTCGGGTGGCATTCTGGATGTAGATTGACTGATACGTCGGATCAAAGTTGATGTTTCGGATTGTGGCGGTCTTGCCCGTGACCTTGTTCAGGATGCTGACCTCTTTGAAAAACGGTGGGTTGACGAGGTAGACATCCTGCCCGTGGACTGGAAATAGTCCCATCATGCTTAGAGCTGCGAACGCCCCCATGGCTCCTCCGTCATCGTTGCCCGGGATACCAGAGACTGAGGTATTGAATTGCGAGGGAATATATACATGTGCCTGCTTTGTGGACAGTCCAGGGCGTCCAGCGTAGTGGAATTGATGAACAGTGAGGAAGGCTTGCTCGTCACCGACGTAGAGAAGGCCCGAACTGTGCAAGTACGTAAGTCGAGAGACAAACGTCTCACGCCCACCGAGTCGGTTGATCAAAGAAGCCATGTCTTGCGGAACGTAACTGACAAATGTTAGCTCTCATCTGAGCTCAAAGCATCAGACATACTCACAATGAGTAAAGCCAAGCACTGCCCTCATACGTTTCATGGCCATTAGCATTCAGGTAGCACGAGTCAAAGCTTAACAGCGGGCTACAGAAAATAGGGTCCTGGTATCCCCATGTTCCATTCGGGTAGCGTGGCTGAAGAAAGCCAGTGAAACCCGTGTCCACTCCGCTGATGGCTGAGCTCTGATCGTCTTTGAACATGTTCTGCCAGTTCTTGGCGCGCTGTGAATACTTCTCGCTGTCGCTCTCATGGCCCAGGATCCGGGCCATCTCAGCAGTACAATAATCATCGTAGGCGTACTCAACCGTTCGGGAGATGCTTCGTGTGTGCAGTCCCACACCGTACGGATCGAAGTCATCTGTTGGTATATAGTTGAGTGTCTTCCAGCTAGTCAGGCCACCTCGTCCCTCAACATTCCAGTTCGAAGGCTCGACTTCGGCATCTTTCAACACGGCTTCATACGCCGTCGCCCAATCTATATCACTCACGTTCTTCAAGAGAGCCTCAGCCAAGAGTACATCTGCATTGGAACCTCCCTGGGTGTAGCCCTTACAGAGGGACATGCGGCAGTCGGGGAGATAACCTTCATGACGATAGATATCAATAAGGCTCCGGATCATCAATGACTGCGACAGAGGATCCGCCAGTGTCAACAGTTGATGCACACCGCGGTAGGAGTCCCAGATACTAAGCAAAAATTTTAGATGAAGCTTGACCGGAGGCACAGCGTTACTTACCAATAGTAGCTGTCATAATACGGCTCATCACTCTGCCATAGTGGGTTCTCTCCAGTGTAGTCCTGTGGGCTGATCATTGCGCGATAAATACCGCTCCAGAACACTTTCTGCAGGTCGGTCGATGTGCCTTCTGCATCAACACTGAATGCGCTCAGTTTCTCCCTCCATGCACTCTCCGCTGCCCGCGCCGTGCCAGAAAAGTCAAAATTGGGTTGTTCGTTCTCTGCATTGGAACAGGCTTGATCAACGCTGATGAAGCTAACACCCACCCTGACGAGAATCGTGTCATTGGCCGTGGGGGCATTGAATCTGACGAATGTACCTCCACTTAGGGTCGATGCAGAATTGCTGCCATCCAATGTTAGCGATAAAAATGTCTGGTTGAGACCCGCCCGGTTGTTCTGCCAGACGCCAGTATCTCGGACTTGTGCTCCTTTGATGTCCGCGCAAAAGTGTAGGTCATATGTCCCGATGCCGAAGCTAGGACTGAAGGTGCCGTTGCCTGTTAGTCTGCCTGTCGATGGGTCTACCGATGCGGTTCCGTTTGTGCGAGACTGGGGAAGATCCATTAGGTCGACGAGAACTACAGGGCTGTATGTTTCGCTGGAAGTGTTTTCAAACGTAAAACGATATAGCGCAGAATGGTTAGTGACGGTCATCTCAGCAAAGATGCCATTATCTAATGAGATCGAGAAATATCCTGGTCGAGCCTGGGGCGATGACCAGGCTGTGGCTCGCGCTGATTGCTGCCAGGCGCATTGATCTAGGTCATCGCTGGGACAGCTCGAATGTACGAAAATAGGAAAGTTGCCCAGGGATGGAGACTACCAATGGTTAATGAGGAGCTCAGCCACCGGCTAGGGAGGTCGAGCTTACACCACCAGTCCCAGAGTCGTGCATATGAGAGAACCCCGAGACATTTTGCGTGTCATAGGCAAATCCGGCCTGATTTTCACCAAGAGTATCGGCTACTGCTTTGGCCATGCCTGTACAGAAGTTAGCTGTCAAGAATAGTCAGATGTGGGCTGATCAGATTGGGACGTACCAAAGGGCAAAGTTGCACCCGCGAAAGAATGACCTAACAGTCTTGTCAATTTTGAATGCCATTTTATGGCCAAGCTAAGTAATTACCTCCATTAGAAGTTCCAATCAGCGGGTCAATGTAGTCGAGTACATCAAAGGACACGCTAGGATCGTTGAGTACTCGTCGAGTCACAGAAGCAGAAGCTAAAACTGTTAATCCAAGCACTCCAAGAAGCCTTGAAAGAGAAACTGGGTCCATTTTCAGACAATATTATCCAAGCTGGACTCCAGTGAGTTGGCGGTTGTGGGGATGGATTGAACATATAGTGTTTATAAACATTCCACAGCAACAAAGGGACCATGGCACCGATGCGGGGGGCAACCAGTCTTCTTAAAACAATCAAAGCCACCAATGCGATTATTTCGAAGCTCATCTGGACTCACATTTGGCTGCGACCTGTTCATTGAGCCATATTGCATCAAACTTGCCAATTATCCTAGTCACATCACAGACTGGCTGCATGAATGGGTATAGAGCTGCCAGCCATGTAACCCTGATCAAGCTACTGCATGTAACACAACCTCGATGATCCGCTGGCAGTTTCTGCAAGGGATGATCGCGCTCCGATTACCGAAGGGCGGAGGATTGAAATCGCCCAATACTTCCTCGTCCTCGGTTGAGGGATGTTTCTTGTGAGTCGCTTATCCCTTGTTAGCTTCAAGACAGGCCCTTGGTGTCCTCATGACTCCTTGGTCGGACCTCGGTCCCTTCAGAGCGGCAAGCGATTGGGATGAAGAATACTGTTTTGCCGAGAACCTGGCTTCTTGTTTGGTTAAGAAAGAAAGGAGCCCGATGCTTCTCATACTTGGTGGTTCCGGCCCGTGGAATAAGGATTGGCTCCCGCCGATGCTGGACCTCGTGCCCCATACCGAGCTTTTCCCTTAATAAGCTTATTTAAACACGAGTCTATCTGGATTTGATATTTTCGTAGTGGGCGATAATATAAAGAGATGCTTTTGGATTTTTCGAGGCCGATAGGTGTCTACTCAAAGGTTCAGAGCGCATGTGAAGCAGATGTCATTCTCGTGTGATATGCAACGCCTGATGAAGCAGGTTTGCAATTAGCCGCAGTCGCTATAGATTCCAAGCAGAGAATTCGGAAGTACAAGGCTCATACCATGACTATATCCTTGAAAGTGTTGATCAATGCTCTTTGAGTAGTCTCATGGTGTACACTTGATCTGCTCTTGTGATACTCCGCGTCGTTTGTGTGCGGGGACGATGCGTCGGCTGACTTGCTAGCAAGTATCGCGCTATAACAGTCCAACCCTGCACACATGGTAGGCGGAGGTTGCATCGGATTTGGAGGAGAGGGCCCATCTTACAGTGATGGTGACAGTCTTTGACGAAGCTCAAGGCTGTTGTCGTTCTTCCCATCCTTGGATGACGAGAGAACTTGAGTACGTAGTAGGTGTGAGTGACCTCCCCGGCCCCGGCCCCGGCCCCGGCCAGTATTAGTGACTGCCAATTTAGGAAACAAGGCCGCTAGGCATTTTTGGGCGATATAACAGAAACTTTCAAGTCCTCATCATTCACTCCATGGCGCAGACAGTGATTCACAGACATCGAACAGATGCTCACTATGACACTCTTGCATCCCTTTCTCTTCCGCTGTTTCTTCTCAATCACTCTTCCCTTAATGCAACCACCCTGAAACTTAGAAACTGTCTACAAACATGGCCCTCTCAGCTGAGACTATGTCCATTGTAAGGCCCCTTTGAAATTGCGATGGGTTCTCAAGCTGACTATTGCTCGCAGATTGTGGCATTTGTTGCCAGCTGTGAAGTCATAGATTGTTTTGGTGTCAATTTATCCCATCTTGATTCAGTCTCGATGCATGATCTGGCCCGATTACGACTGATCAACAAGACTTTCTGCTATTTTGCCTCCGAACACTTCTTTTGAACACTATCGTGGACGCGGGGGCTATGGGAGGAGATCTGCTACAGCCCATATGCGATACATGTCCGCCAGGTGCATCTAATTGACCCAGATCACGGTTCCGAAAGAATGAGCTGGGAAAGGATCACAATGCAGCTGCCGACAGTCTTGTCCTGCCTACCTAACCTCGAAAGTATGGTAGTCCATCTTGAAGATTTGAGTACGAGTGATCTAGAAGCGATTAATTCTCAACGAGTCCTTGTACAGAGCTTCGAGGAGGCATCACTGCTGAAACTGAGGAGTCTGCTTGTGTTTTTCGATGGGTGGAAGGCGCCCCGCGCGAACGTGCTACTTCAAAGAAACAGGTAGCGCAACTTCTCCGAGGACTGCGTCGTCTTAGCCTTCAGACTCCATATGTTAGGGTCCCTGACGCGGGGACGAAGACTCAATCACTGGCTGCAGACTTCTTAGCATGTCTCCTCGACTTACCAGAAACTTCTCCGACCCAGTCTGCACCCGAGACAGAGAACGAAATGGAGCAGGATGTACCCCCGGACTCTTCTACGCTTGTACTGGAGTTACTTGCGTTGGCCGAAATGGCAGTTCCTGTTTCTGTGCCTGCCACTTTCGCCACACTGGCAACGCAATCGCTGCGCCATTTCGATATGCATCGGGTTTTGCTTGATTCAGGGAACTGGTGTGACGTTCTATCGCTACTGAGCCATATGCCACAGCTAGTCAAATTCAGGCTCAAAAGGTGCAAGCAGTGGGGGACGGGCTCTGACCGCGAACTCATTTGCTTGAACCTGGTCCCTAAACCTCGCGTGGAAGCTGAAGTAGACGAGTGTGACTACAAGGCTCCCCTTGCTTGTCTTCCTCTGGAGCTGGGCCTAGCATATGTTGCTGCGCTGCGTCAAGTCAATACGAGCCGGAGCATTGCTGGGATGTGTCCACTGTGAGATCAGGGAAAGTGGTGGACCTGTCGATAGCATGACCCGACTGCGGCAATGTACATGCTCGAAGTGATGTTTCCCCATTGCAAGAACCTTCACGAGACTACTATTGTTGTGCCCCATATTACCCATGCAAGAGATGTTTGACTGCAGGAAGAAGGAGGGAATCTGTTGTTATATAACAATTCATAAACCCTCCTAAACATAGAGATAGTAACCCACAAAGCTTGTGGACATCACAAGTGTAAGAATCGTAAAAGTTCAGGTGTGCTGCTGGAGGTGCATACTGTAGAAGCTCTGCTACTGCCTAAAGCACATCCAAGAGATTTACTTATGTTAATACTATATTGTAGTGTACCTCATCTCTGTTGCGCTCCTTGTGCGGGATAAGATTGACGATCGTGGTATTTGATACCACGTATACCACATATAACCTTATATGGTGAGACTTGTCATAGAAAAAGCTGTGACTACAAGCTCATAAATTTCCTTAGCGGATGGCAACAGCTATAGGAATATGGTAGAATTGAGATTGCATGAGTCCTGTCTATTCTGCACAACGATAGCCGGAACAATGCTGTTCCGTGAGCGGGAAAACATACCCCTTTGAACCAAAGGATCGCCATGCTGGTTTAGCCGGTTGCCAAGCTTCTAGGAGCTTCAACTTCCTTATCCTTATCAACAATCTCCACAAACACACCTAGAACCATGAGCATGTCGTCTGCTGATTTGCGATGAGATGCGGGTCATTTCGACTCTACCACAGAAGACGCGACCTTCATGAATTGTGGCCTACCCAACAGACACAATGCCTGGAGTTCCGTCCAATAAAGCATGCGAGCGGTGCAAGAAAAGACACCTGAAGGTTGGTCCAGCCAAATTGCCACGACCAAGGTGCTTGCTAAACCATTCAGTGTGATGAAGCGCGTCCGAAGTGTCAACGATGCATCAATGCTGGTGTAGACTGTCCCGGATATGTTCAAATGCGCAAGTTCATTGATCAGGGTGCTGCCGTGAGGCGCCGGTACGCCCCTTATCATGGCGAGGAAGCTTCTAATCGTCACCACAGTCCAATCGGCGCCCCAACGAGCGTATGTACTTATCAATCTTCTCCTATGATTTAGCTTCGTCGGGTTGTATATGAGAGTCATATACTTACAAGTGACTAGACTCTTCCGGGTGACCCTTCGAGCTTAAATCATGACGCTGCCAAGCAGACAATGCCAAGCCCAAGTCAGTTCCCATCTGGGGCAGCAACAGCGCCTGCATCCGGTTCAACGCTTGTTATGAGTGAGCTTGTGTCGCACTCCCCAGCAGGGGCATCGTCTCAAGCAAGCTCTCCAGGCCCAAGCATGCAAGCACGTCACGCTATTCGAACTCCGGACTGGGCTGGTCGAGAGAATGACCCGACCCGCATGGTAGGTTCGGATCCCGTCATTGGTCCTGGATGGAACGATGTTCGAAGCTCAAGTACTTCAAACCACGCATTCGATAACTCATCTGACCCTAATGTTGCGATGGCGCCTCGACGAAGCCAAGCTTCGTCACATGCGGAGCATACTTCGCACAGTCCATCTCAGGCTGACGAAAATGAAAGCATTCAAGACATGTATTCCGATCTCATAAGCGGTTCTGGATATGAAGAATCATTCTTAGTACGATACTATGTCGAGACCTTGGCGCCATGGTTTGTGTCCCCTTCTCGCGTGCTGTCATTATGCTCATTCGTACGTAGGTTAGATCTTTCTGACCCTCGCAAGTTCTTTGCGACTCATGTTCCGCTACGAGCCAAAGACGATGTGGCTCTTCAATACTCCATCACTGCTTTGGCCGCGAAGCACCTCGGTAGAATGAAAGGAGTGAAAATCACCGAAAATACTGGGTTATTCACAACTCCTGCGATACTGGAAACGTACCCTGATGTGTCGGATTCAGAGTGGCTGCATAAAGCCACCATGTACAGCTACCTGGCTGGCCAGCGACTGAACACTGCTCTGTCTGAGTCCTACACAGCAGTTTCAAGCTCTGCTGTGCTGAAATCTCCTTTCGAGACAATCAATGACTGGCTGCGTAATCAATCTAAGAACGCCCCCTTCGACTCACAAACTCAATCTGCTCTGGGGAAGAAATTAGAAAACTCCCTCGCGGTTTCGACCATTCTCAATCTGTACAAATCGATGGATGAGCCGGCAGAGAAATGGCATTTGTGAGTTTGTTCTGTGTGGAAATCTACTATCTCAATGGGGACTAACGATATACACAAAACAGACATCTCTCCGGTGTCAGACCGCTCTTCGAATCCATCGTCAGCCTCTATGAAGGCATAACACCAGCCCCTAAAAGCTTCCCACATGGCGTTATTGCGGCTTTTTGGAACTTTGTCCGTCAGGACTACTTGAGCTCGTTTCTCAATCGCGTGCAGACACACTTGGATCCCAGCAATTTCAAACTCTGGAGGTCTGCTGGTATACCACTTGATGATGAGGGGAGCATCGGGATTACCAGTGACACTTTTCTTCTCCAAGAAGACCTCTCCTTTCATTCTCTGGCATGGCTCTCCTGCAAAGTTGTCAACTTTCTAGCCGACTCGAAGAAATCGTCCCTGCAACAACTGGTTCGCTCTCCATCTAGTGAGGGCTCGGAGGGCTCCACCCCGTATCCCACGACTTCCACATGGCTGGGGCTTTCGTTCGAGTACCAGACATGGGTCGAACGACTCCCAGAATCGATCCGCCCTTGCGTGCGCCTCGAGAAGCCGCGCAACCTGTCACATCCGCTCGAGACAAGTCCTGTCCCGTTTCCTGAGATCTTCTACTCCTTACCATCGTATGCCTATGCGATGCAAGTGTGTCATTTCGGCCGCCTCGCATTGTCTCTGAACCGCCCGACCGATGCGGTCACGGCTCCGAGCACCGCCTTCGACCGCGTGCAGGGGTATCGCGAGCTGACCAAGGAGGTCGACTATCGGTGCCGGGAGATCATCGGGATCGCGCTGGCTCGGCCGTCGAGTTGTGCGCGTGTGTACATGACACCCCTGCTGTTTGCAGTGGGCCAGTTCCTCGAAGCGCCGGAGGAACGCCAAATACTGGTGAACCTGCTGCGCGGGATCGAGGCGGATCTGGGGTGGGAGACGGACTCGAAGACGAGGAAGCTGCAGACGCTGTGGAGCCATCAATAGTTGCAGCTGCTCGCCAGCCGACGAGTATGGTCAATATCATTGGATCAAGAAGATCGATCCCATGCAGCCTTTCATGCTAGAAATCACCACCCACGGCAGTGTCTCTTCCAAATAGTCTACTCTCGGGAAAACACAGGACGCAAATGGCGAAAGGCTTCGCACAAGAAATTGCATGAAACCAAATATCCCTCGCCCAACATTAGATACATTTCGCGTAAATCATCAAGACAGACCAGCTGCCACTATCAATCAAGAACCCCCCGTACCGTACACAAGACCTCACTCATCATCCTCATCGGGATCATACAGATCCAAATCCAACGTAGCCTTCGGCTTGGCCGGCAGCGGCGCCGCAGCCGGCCTAGCACTCCCACCCCCACTCCCACTCCCACCGCCACCACCAACAGCAGACCCCGAAGCAGCAGACGAGCCCGCCAACGCCGCCGCCCTGGCCGCCTCATCCGCATGCCTAACCTGCTCCGCGACCTCCGGCCCCGGCGCCGCAGCCACCGGCGCGGCAACGCCCAACCCCTCCGCCTCGCGAATCAACCGCTCCACCTCCGCCTCGACCTGAAAACCCGGCCGACCCTCCGCCGCCGCCAACTGAATCTGGCCCATCAGCCCCATGCGAATGCGATCCTCCATCGGATACGGCAGCATATACACCTGCCTCGCCAAGTGGGCACTCTCATCCAACCACGAGGTCGCCCCTTTCGTGACCTCAGCCACCGGCTCAGCAGCAGCAGCAGCATCCCCATTCGCGCCCCCAGCCGCAGTCGCAGCCCCCGCCCCGATCCCCCCCATCTCCGCATCCTTAACCGACCCCCTCCTAGCCTGACCCGCCGCAACCCGCTCCTCAGCCCCAGCCGCCGCATCCGCCGCCGCCTGATGATTATACTTGCTAATGCGGCGCGCAAAGTCCAGAAGAAGTTTGTAATCCACCTCCTTGACGCCATGCAGCTTCCGCTTCGCCCCGGACCCCGTCATCCCAGTGAACGCAGAATCCGTACCCTGCATCTCCGTATCCCCATCCCCCTCGTAATCAGTATCATCACCATCATCCTCCTCCGAGTCCTCCTCCGAGTCCGAGTCCGAGTCCCCACAAACCCCACGTACCACCTCCTCGAACTCCACGACCTCGCGCACGATGCCCCGGACTTTCTCCTCGAGGGCCTGCGCCTCGGCGCGCAGGCCCAGCAGCCGCGCGTAGTTGCGCTGGTGCGCGCGCAGCTCGTCGATGGTGGAGGTGAGGGCGTCGTCGGCGGCGAGGAGGGCGAGGGCGGCGGCGGGGGCGCCGGAGGCGGTCGGGGAGGTGGTCAGGGTGGTGAGGAGGGTGTGCAGGGCGGAGTCGAGGGTGGTGAGGGTGGTGTGGACTTGGGTGTTCATTTTGGAGGCCTTTCGAGTTTTGGGGTGGGGGAGGAGATGTATTTGTTGCTGGAGAGTTGTGGTGGTGGTTATTGAGACATTGAGTTTGAAGTGTTATGTGGGAGTGGGTGCGTAGGTGTATGTTGGGTGGAATTGAGTGAGAGTGTGTTTTGGTGGTCGCTTTGTGGTGGTGTTTAAAGCTTGCTTGCAGGTGAGCTTGGCGGCCGCGAAGCTGGTTGGGAGCTGGGGATTGTTTGGTGGATGCACGTGAGAGGTCCGGGCGGGTGTGTCACGTGGTGCGGTTTTCCGCTCACTACCGGTACTATACTGTAGTTATCCACAGCGACTTATGCCTCTATAAAGCTAGAATGACTGATCTTGAGATGAGGAGGCGGTAAAAGCTACGGTCTACACTTCTCTTACTACTGCATACTCATACGTGTCAGAAAGCTTTTGCATATCTATAAGCTAATCTTTATTTGAATGTAACATGACTCTAACCACCATGATCTAAGACTTATCTGGATATAGCCTCCTGTAATACCACTGCCGCAAGGTTTTCTCACACTGCAAGTACCCCATGCCTCGCGCCGCTTCCACTGCCGCTTCCAGGTAAGGCCGGACCACTTCCGAAGGCGTGCCATTTGCGTCGATCGCCTGCAAAAGCGCCTCGATCACCTCCGTGCTTTGCGTCATACTAGCATTAAGCAACGGCGACCGCCGGGTGCCACTGTGTGGCAACGGGTTGGCTCCATAACGGAGCAGCAGACGCACGCAGCGCAGATCACGCAGGAGCGCCATTCTATCCAGGGCCGTGAATCCCCCCACCTTTTGATTGATATCTTCGCCGTATCGGAGGAGAAGATCGACGATGGCGCTTGGGTCTGCGTCAGGCCTGTCCATGGATCTCGCCGCCACGCAAAAGATGTCAACCTGTCGGGGCCGGGGGAGACGAGCGTGAAACCCCTGGTCGATCAGGAACTGGACCATCTCCACTCGGCCGGTGGTCGCCGCCACGCTGAGAGCTTCCTCACAGGCCATGCTGGTGAGATTCTCCGGGAGTAGCAGGTCGTCCCATCGTTGCTGTTGCAGGAGAAGCTCAAAGACTGCTCGACCGCCTCCGATGGCTTGGTGAATGAAGCTGGTACGACGGCCCATGAGCAGCGGCAAGTCAAGTTCACGGTCCAGCAGCATCTGCACCAGTGCAGTCCGGCCTGAGCCCAAAACCGCGGCTACGACCGTCGTCTCTTCCACATTCATCCGGCCAGGGCTAGCCCCAGCGTCCAGCAAGCATTGAAAAATCCCCTGGAACGACATGGCCGCTATAAGAGCAGGGTTGCCAGTTCCATGGAAGACGTCTTCGTCGTTCGGATCGGCTCCTGCCTCAAGTAACAGTTCAACGATGGGCTGAAAGCCCCCATAAATCGCTTGGAGAAGTGCTTTCTGTCTAACCACCTGATTTACGTGTGGCCCCCGAATGATCATCTCAGGGTCATGGACGACAGACATCTCCTGCCATAGGATCGCCTCTCTAGATGGCAGAGCGCCACGCTCAAGCAGCATTTGCACGACCGCTGTGTGGCCTCGGTCGGCCGCCAAACATAGGGCCGTGAGGGAACCATTGAGTGAACCCTGTACGAACTGGATCACAGAGTTCGGATGGCAACCAGGGTTTTCCAGAAACCCCTGGACAGCAGGGAGGTCACCCCGCGCAGCGGCAACACACAGCATCGCACGTAGATTTGTGCCGAGCTGCGCGTAGCTCTGAGGCTGCGCCAGAAGGAGATCAACTATAGCCGGGTGCCTGCTTCTAGTGGCGCACACAAGAGGGTGACTCGTCTCCTCCAGACTCGGCAGGCTGTCCATCACGCCGTCCGCATTGATCAGACACCGCACGCACTCGAAATGACCATGGTGGGCAGCTTCGGAGATGGGCGGCGTGGCTCCATTGAAAGATCTGACGTTGGGATCCGCCCCCCGACTCAGGAGGAACTCCAGCACCTCATGCCGGCCGTTTTTCGCCGCATGAACCAGGGGGGTTTGGTCATCGTTGTCGCGAGCCTCGAGGTTCGCGCCCGCATCGACCAGGCAGCGGACCACGGAGAGATGGCCCATCTCGGCGGCGCCGATCAGCGGCGTCCGTCGCAGCCTGTCGGCCGGGAAATCGACATCGCCCTTCCGCGGCAGGTAGTCCATGAGCATGCGAACCAGCGGCTCATGGCCGCGTTTCGCCGCGATCGCCAGGAGGCTCATGGTCTGCGCGGGGGAGGACGAGTAGTCATGGTGACGGGGATTCACCCAGTCGCGGACCTGACGCAGGTCGACCCCGTGCTCGCACAGGAGTCGCACAATATCCTCCTGTCCCTCGTAGACCGCCAGTGCCATTGGTCGCCAGTCCATGCGCCGATCGCATTCGTGGGGGGAGGCGCCTGCTTCGAGAATCAGCTTGACGGTTTCAATGGAGTGGTGCGCGATTCCCCACGCTAGCGCCGTGCTGTCCCCATGGCGCACATTGTGCTTATAGAGCCGTCGGTTCAAGACCTCGCGCAGATCCTTGTTCGTGCGGGCGAGTGCATTGATCTCGCTTTCGTAGTCGACCAGGTCTGCGATGGCGTCGATAAGCTCAACTGGGAGCTTGTCGATGCCCATGTTTGCGCGTCAAGTTAGTGATTTCGAGTCTGACGTCTGTAGATGTGTAAAGAAGGGGCTTGGTATACTCGATCCGCATACTCGGAGACCTATGGGCTGGACTGTGGTTAAATACCTCTCTCAACGAAAATCATGCAATTACAAAGGAATTATTTTCTTTCCACCCCATCGTGAGAAAAAGATAATGAGAGATAATAATAGAGCAAAGTGACAATGCGCCCCCCCGACGAAGGAAACAATGAGGTGCTGATAAAAGCCAAAGAGTACAAAGAGATCATCCTTTCCAGAATTCTGGAATGTCGTCCGAGCCACGGTGATGTTGTTAGTAGGGTCTTCGAGCTTTTGCAATGACAAGGCGATATGGCTCTTTTGGTTGTAGTTGCGATGGTCTGGATCAGAGACAGGATGAAGTGTCTTAATGCCGCTGTTTCGGTTGAGGTAGGTGACCACTATACCTAGTACATGAAGAAGGAGCTGGGATACTACGGGTCAGGTGACAATTGTTCACATCGGCGTTTCTGAACACTGTTCTGGTAAGTTACCATTGGGTTCGATTTTCTCGGAACGACGACTCAGATGCTATTTCATGCCTGTTTTTGTATGTTTTCTGAGGGTCTTGACCTGACTCGTACGAGTACCAGCAAAACATAGCCCAAACCAAATAAGGTCCACGAAGAAACATAGAGCTGCTCCGAAATCGAATCATCGCCTCAATCTGTGGTATAATCCCGATCACCAGCGGAGAAGGTTATAGTTGCATGCTTAGTGGTGGTTCATCTCAGTCAAGAGACTAGTAATAGCACAATACCACGCCGCCCCACAGTCCAGAACGCCATACGTCAAATAGTTCCTCCAATGGCTCGCTTAAGCTCTTCCGGTACTGAGCCGACAGAGACAAGATGATTTGATCGGAACATCCGCCCGAGCCAATGCCATCCTAAGCTGCAACCCAAGAATGCGCGCCTCAGAATCACGACCCAGTCTGACAAGACACTCATGGTACCCATGCAACGACCACACGTTATTCGGATGCTGTTTGGCTCGCGGTAAAGAATCATCCACCCCCAGGTCCGCGGCATAGACGTCCGCCGCCTCTTCCACAAGTCCTTGCTCCAACAACAAAGCGCCATGAACATGGCGGATGGGCTGCATCCACCCCCATGGCTCGTCGTATGGAAGCTTATCATAGAGACTTGTGGCATGGCTCAAATGCTGGAATGCCTTGGTGGTATTGCCACGGCGGTACTCAAGCTCCCCGTCGAGCATGGCCTGTGCGATAGCTAGAATGTCAAGACAAGTATTGTTGTGCAGGGTGCGCGTTGGTGGAACTCGTTGGAAGGCTTTCTGGAACAGTTCCTGCTCCTTGCTTGCCTCGTCGATTTTTCCCAGTGCAGCCAAGGCGACAGCTTTCCCGTAGTGTATCACGGCGGTAGTCACGCAGTATAATTCCTGGTCCTGTGGGAGTTTGATCGCGATGATGTCTCCCCAGCGCCCAAAACGAATCAAGACATGCACGCGCATCGGCACAAACGACTCCAAGAACATGGCCATCGGGGGATGCGGCGTGCGTAGTATTTCCTCGGAAAGTGATTTTTCCAGCTTGATGGCAGTGTCTAGTGCGACCTTGAACTGCCCCGCGAGCATAGCGGCGTAGATTAGGAAATGGTAATTGTGGGATCTGTACATCGTATAGATACCCTGAGGCCGAGACAGGGCAAGATGTTTCTCATCAGCCCGCACTGCATCAGAGTTGGAGAGGATAGCTCGCTGATAGTCCCCGCAGAGGATATCTATGTGGGTCGGCATATGATGAAGATGACCCGAGTCGGGAACCAACCCACGGAGATGATCAGCGATTTGCAACACCGCCTCTGGCTGGCTGGACATCTCCATGAGATGGATGTACACATGCAATAAACCTGGGTGGGCATAGCCGCCGTCTTCATCCAACGCACGGTGGAGGACATCTTTAGCCTCCAGTGTACATGATCCTGCGGTCGGATGTCCGGTGTGCAAATCCCAGAGCCGCCACGGCGTTAAGTTGATGAGGCTGTCAGCATATAGTGCAGTGACATCCAAGTCACCTGGAAACCTCTCATAGACGACCCGCATTGCCTCCGCATATGCTCTGCTCCATGACTGGAGCTCCTGTGGGTCCTTCGGCGCATGCTTCTGAGGAAAGCGAGCTTGAAGCGCTCGAATGAGACCTTGCTCGATGGGCGTTGCAGCTTCACTGTTCTCCAAGGCCTGGGTGAGCGCAGAGTGTGTGCGGCCCACAACCATCTCCAGTGCCTGCGGAGGGAAAGCCTCCCATGACATATTATAGTTTGGCCCGAGCGCAAACGCTAGTCCCCAGTATGCCATGGCACATGTTGGGTCGTGCGCGATCGCTTGGTTGAAGCATTCGGCGGCCTGCTCGTGGTTGAAAGCATAGCACCAGGTCAGGCCACGGTCGAACCAGACCTGAGCATCCCTGCTAGCAGTGGTGACTGCTCGATGGAAGGATCCGAGGTCATAGTATGGGGTATCTGCGGAAATGGCGATGATCTGCCTGTTAAGATACTGGGCCATTTTGATCGATAATTCACATTGTGTCAGTCGAGTTTAGTGGATGTGATGCACCAGGTGGCAGGGAGTGAGAGACAACGGTTGTCTGGTTATAACTAGCCAGCCAAAAAGACATGTTAGTCATCGAGCCGTCATCTTGTGATCCGTGACATCAAGACATGGATGCGCGCAATGGAACCACAACAAAGAAACGGGTTGTACGAGGACAACAAGTAATGACCAAGATAGTCTTTGGTTTGAAGTCCGAGAGCGAGAAAAGAAAAACTCCGAGAAGAGCGCCAGCATTTCGTATCTCACTGCAGAACAGCAACCATGCTCGGTACAGCTAAGATAGAGAAGTACCTACTAAGACAGATATACCAATGCATCTGTAAGCGGAACGTAGCAACACAAGAGAAGCAAAGGAGGGGGCGACTGGGCAGGTAAGTTTAGCCGAGCAACGGGGGAACAAGCTAAGAGTGGGGATTGTGCAGCAGGAATACGAGGAAGAAGTGGACTGTGGGTGAGGAAGTTAAAGCTGAATAGAGTCTCATTCTCGTGACTTTTGCCGACAGGGACGGGAAGGGTCTAGCCTCTCTACCAGTTTATCAATTCTGTCACTGTCACTGTCACATCCGTCAATGCCCGAATCCCCAACCCCATCCCAAAATACACTTTTCAGATCATTGCTCTTTTTTTTTTCTTCAATCCATAAATAGGTCTTACCTAGGATTAAGGTATACCCAGAGCCAGAGGATCTCAGGGCGATCATGGTTATCTGAGCCGAGTGCCCTGTCATCTGCTGCTTCGGTAAGATCCTGTCAGCCTGTGGCCTGGCCGGCTTCCGCCAAGATCCTCCGCGTCTGCTTGGCAGGCGCACTACTCCGCGAGCCACCTGCAGTAGGAGGCTGTTTTGGGAAACTGGTGTCACTGAAATCTGCTCATCGTGCAATCTGCCTGCTGATTCCTAAGAATTAGATAATGATTGTTTTGATTAATTTGTGAATGCGATCCTTCATCACAATGAAAGGAGGAGTGGTGGCCCCATCGACTGGTTGCCAATGCAAGCATTGAACAGAAGACCAAGTGGGTCCGTTCTACCAGTTGCAGCCTGCAGGAGAATCATCAACATTTCTATCTGACAAGCAACGAGCCTCAATGCACAACGCGACAAGCATCTAATCTCCCTTGCAAGACACTTTCTTGCAGACTAGAGAAGGTGAACACCTCCCTTCAGAGGTTGCTTCGAGCCTCTTCTCATGCCACAAATGCGAAGCATCGCGGAAACATCACGAACGTGAACGAGCTATACTTCGACCTGGACAACCCACCGTAAGCTGAGCTGACTAGATAGATGAGGGACTATATCCCACCACTTATCTTCATCCGGCTAGTCAGGCTGTAGATCGCGCCGAAGCGAACCGGTTCTCAACTTCTCACCTGCAGAATGGAGATATTCGGAGCCCCGGAGCATACGTAAGTCTCCTTCAATAGTGCCATGAAGATAACGAACGATGCTCCATCGACCTCAGCTGAGAACGAGAGGGAACACCCAATGCCTTGTCCACGGAAACGAGACGCGTGTAACAGCATCATGGCGAGAGAAAAAGCTATATAAAGGCGGTCGTTGACCCTCGAGAGTACCTCGAAAGATACCCAGAGATCACACATCAACCACTCCAGCTCAAACCATCCATCCCCCATCCAAACTCCTCAGCAACTTCAAGATGATGACCAAGGTCCGCAAACACCCTTCCCGATCGTCCCCACCCCTACATCCCAAGCCTCCCTTTCTCCCCTCAATCTCAGCCCTACTGACCCTCGACCCCCAGACCCTCGCCCTCGTCGCCACCACCCTCGCCGTGGCCGTCACCGCCAACCCCACCGTGGGCTACGCGGGCTACTTCTACGAGAACTGCACCACCCCCAGCATCGACGCGGGCAACGCCTACGCGGGCTCGTGCCTGAACGTCGAGAACTTCCCCATCAAGTCGTTCACCGCGTACGTTGAGTCCGGCAGCTGCGCCGACGGCACCTCGGCCGTGCTGCACACCTACACGGCCTCGGGCTGCGACGAGTCCACCCTGTACGAGACCGTCAGCGTCGACACCGAGAAGCAGTGCTTCGAGGCGGATGTGACCCTGGTCAGCATCAAGTCGGAGTGTGTTTAGACGGGCTTGCCTGTCTGTTTCAGGATCGAAAGTGGGTAGAGAAAAATCCAGGAGAGCATGTATCTAGACTTTTGGTTCTGAATGCGACGTTGTCGATGACGAAGAGGTGCATATATGCCAAGTAAATTGTATGTAGGCCGGTGGGACAGCTCAAGAAGATAAGCTATGGTTGATAGCTTGGCGTTGGGATGCTTGGTGTGTGCCTACCGTTGCTTTTGCTTGATACTGGTTGGTTGGTTATGAAGTATGCGCCTGAGGAATCGGCTAATGTGCCTGTAGTAGTAGTCTGGCATTACAGTCATTAGTCGACTTCAGTCGGTCATAATTTGTCGAATTATTATCGATACTTAACTAATCTGTGGTTGACTAATCATAGCAAGCGGCCACACTCCCCGGTACTACATTCCGGACTTGTCTCTACCAGCGTTAGATCAACCAGTTCCCCTCAATAGCTCAACTTTCCCGTAGCAAACTATCAGAACCCTCATCCAACTGGAACTTAGAACAAACAACCACCTCCCAAACCCAGGGTTACATCAACCCCACCGATTTCGCACCCCACAAACCCCATCCACGAAAACAGATCTACATCTTGAATCTTGATTTCACTCGAAGGGTCTCAAACTCAACCGCACAGATACTAGTCTACACATACATATACAATAATACCCGCGAGTGGCAAAAAAGTACCACACTCGATCAGCGGAGAAACACTTCCACTGCCCTGTTTTCCCCCTGCCCAAAAAAGTTCCCACCCCACTCTTGCCCTCCGCATCCATAGGAGAAAAACCGGACAATGCAAGACATGCGATATCATTTGTCTTGGATCTAAACCTCCCCGAGATACATCACCCAAGATCCCCGAACCGGACTCGGTCATCGAGATTAAGATCGTCGAGGGAGAGTGGGAGTGTGCCTTGGACCAGATTACATAGTATGATGCGGATCGATGTGGTTGGCTGAGAGCGTCGAGTTCGGCGGGTGGATCCGACGATGCCGGAAAAGTGGTTCACACGAAAATTCTCCGTGTGTCCTGTCCCCAGTGCTATCCACATCGGACAGGATACTCTGGGGCACAGTGGCAACCTGCAAAAAGACAAAAACTATTGACCGACGCAGGGCTCGAACCTGCAATCTCTTGATTCGTAGTCAAGCGCCTTACCATTGGGCCAGCCGGCCTTATTGATACTCCGGAGTGCTTAAGGGATACATATCCAGCACGAGGGAAAATGTTCGCTTTCATTCATGTGCGTATGCTAGTTAACAGTAAACATGCTACATTGGATATCTTCATAAACAGGACAGTAAGGGAATAGAAGGGAATGGAATGTGAGGAAGGAAGGAAATGTGGATTAATCACGGGGAAGATTGGCTTCAGGGTCGGAATCGCTGTACCTCTCCATCAGCACCTCCTTCTCCGACAGCGGCTCCTCGTCTTCAACAGTGATGACGGGAATCTGGGGCCGATGGCTGTCCTGTGCCCAGAAGTAGACGGAGATGATCATCCGACCAAGAAGAAATCCAATGACACAGGCGACGCCTCCGGCCACGACGCCCAGCAGAGCAGGGAAGATGATAGCGCGGATCTGTCGCATGACGCCCCGCTCCCGGCCGCTCCAGAAGAACTGTCCGTTGTGGCTCGTGCGGAAGACGGGAGGGTACTTGGTCGAGGCAGACTTCTCGTGCGAGGACTCAGCCGCGGCAGGGACCGGGGAGTCGTGGATCTGGTCGTGCTCGTGCTCGTGCTGGCCGTGGGAGAAGGGGGTCGTCTTCAGGCAGTCAGTTACCGCTTCTTTGGCGTTGCTGACGTAGGACTCGACCTTAGACTTCCATTCCTTCATGCGCCAGATCTTGTTGCCGTGGCCGTGCTCGCGGCTGGAGTTCGGGTCGATGACCGTGATCTGGAGATTGTCGGCGGTGTCACGGACGAGGCCGATTGCCACAGCGTGGTCGGTGACGGGACGGCCGTGCAGGTCGAAGAGGCGGAGCTTCAGGTGGTAGATATCGCCCACGGGAGCACCAGGGTGAGATGGGAGCGGTCGGACATCCAGAGCGTAGGCGACGGAGACGGATTGCTTGTTGCCGTCCCATTTGCGGTCCACGGAGAACTGCATCGGCACGGATGCGGGGAAGATGGGTTGTTTGTTGGCCAGCAAGACGCCATTTTGCGTGGAGAAATCAATGGTCTAGGCATTGTCAGTTTGAGATTCGAGTTGTCTTTTCGGCAAGGGTCATCATACAAGGTGTGCAAAGGGGTCGAGAGCTTCGTTGCAGCTGGAGTCGGAGAAAGCACATGGAACGGCAGGCAAGTTTATCTGATGGGCGCTGGCCGAGCGGGGAGAACTGATGTAGGAGTAAGGGACGGCAGCAGCGGCAGCACAGCTGCTTAGGCAGAGAGCGCCTGTCACGGACAGGTAGCGAAGCAACATGGCTGTTGTTGTTGTAGATAGGTCGATGATTTAGAAAGAGAAGGTGATGATGGATGGAGTTAGTTGGTAAGTTGTCTAGTGGTAGGTGGTGTGGTGGTATGGCAGTGGTGATAGTGGTGAGTTGTGGTGGTGAGTTGTGGTGGTGAGTTGTGGTGGTGAGTTGTGGTAGTGATGCAAGGGAACGAATGTTTGACCAGGTCCAAGAGGGAACGTAGAGGGAACAAGAGAATGTTTATAGGATGCAAGACCAGAAGAAACAACAGAGCCAAGGCTGGAAAAATCATGCAGGGTGCTGTGAGCCGGGCAGAGGCATATAAAAGCGAGCAGAAGCGACCAAGCAAACGCTAAGATTTGGCCCAGCGGGGAAAGCAAGACAAAGGCACAGCAGGAAGAAGTAGACGGACGAGAGGGGGGCGAAACGGGAATTATTCTGGATCAATGCAAGGCCAAGTGAGGAAGTGGAGTCAGAAGTCCGAGGACTCAAAAGTAGAGTTAAGTTAATGGAAGTTAAGTTGTTAAGGTCAGTCGTGGTGGTGTTTACTGCCATAATAAAATTAGTGGTAATTGTTTCTTTTACTTACTGTTCTGGGTGCGGAAGAAGTTGAAGGCTCTCCGTAGTATACTAAGTTACTGACTGTACAGTACTCTGCAAGTAGACTTGCGGCTTCCAACTCCGCCATTTCATCACCATCATGGATCCATCCATCGCTTCCTCCATCTTTCACCCGCCCCAACAAATAAACACTGCCTCAACTCGTTGGTTTCACTACTTTACCTTCTCTTCCTTTATCTTGGGGGCCAGGGTCCCTTCACTTTCATTTCTTCCACCTGCGCAAATTACTTGTACCACCGGTCCCTGCTGCTTGTGTCACCGCAATTCAGCTCGATGGTAATCCCTTGGATTTGAAACAAACCCCATGGGCGGTTCTCGGAGGGTGTTTGGCACCCGAGAATGGAGTATCTACTGTACTCTTTTGACTGACTGTATAACGACAGCACGCACTTGAACAAGTCCGGCAAAGTCAGAGACAGACACCCAGACACCAGACACCAGACACCCAGATACCCAGACACCCAGCCAGCACAGCCATTCGCCCCCTCTCTCCTCTCAGGCTCTCACAATAATCCAATGTGCTATTATTAAGTATAGACCCTTTTTCTCTTTGGGCTTAGCCGTGTTTTAGTGCCTGTCTCTCCCCACTTTTCCGTTGCCCGCGGACACCGGCGAGCTGTGCTATTTCATTCCTTCTTCTGCTAAGCTCTCCCAGCGCTGCCCGCTCTGCCAATGATCAATCCAGCTGCACCTGGTCGCCCCCACGGGCCATTCAGGCTCTCACTTCCCTCTCCCTCCATTCATGGGTCATTGGAAGCTTAGCGATGAGGTTATCGCCGGGGGATCATTTTAGCTGTGGATTCCTTTTCTCCCCTCGGACCTCTCTATCCTCCGACTCGGAACACCCAAGACTCACTCTTCACAAGTCTCAGACAAACGGCTGCCTAGTTTTGGACAAATCGGCGTTCCCTAACCTCGCTACTTGTCTTGCGATATGGGCAGACCGTCCATCCCCACCCCTCAGACACCTTACCAATAAGCCTCCGTCTGTCACTTCGGTCGGCCGCCTCCGTTCGGTAACCGTAGACGAAGCCTCCGGAATTCTACTCTTCGGGGAAAAATGAGTAATCACCCAGCCCATCAGCGTGCGCTTCGAAGGTGCAATCGGACCCTGCGATTGGCACATCATGGCTCCGGGATATTTTCTTCGGCTGCCTCTTTGGCAATTCGAGCTGTCTCATTTGACAATTCTTGCATGACGCAGGGCATGGGCAATCATCGTATTACCGTGATTTTAAGGTTATGGGAAATATCATCTTTCGTAGCCTCGTAGAGTCACAGGCGATCCGAAATGGCCGGTGGCTTGGACGATTGGACCTGATGTTCACAAGTTCCGTGCCGGCCAGCTCATCGAGCGCCATCCCCACTGTCAGCTGGAGCAGGATCGCAGCGTAACGGACAAATGCACTTATCCATCCTAGTGCTGCAAATCACTGAAAGCTAAGGCAACTCCGATGGGGGACGAAAAAAATGTGCCTGAGCTAACGTGCTTAAGGTATGGACCATTGGACCCGAACTTGAGAGTTTTTCTCTACCAGACTCCAATCTTTCGTTACCCTCAGGCTGATTGACGGTCAACCCTTGAAACAGTCTAGCTCACTTCATTGGCTCATTGGTTATTTTTAGTGCTGAGTCACATCGCCGACTGTTCCACCCAAACTTCCACCCAAACGGCGATTCCAGGCAGAAACAGACGCAAATTTGGAGCTTATACTGTACTTTGTTTATCAAGAGGCCGAATTACCTTAGACGATCTGATCAATCAGCGACTTCAGAACATGCGCTTGCATCATTGATGAAAAATCTCACGTGCTTATGGCTGCAACCGCAAGCAAACTTGAACGCGGTTCTGATGCGCGCATTCCACTACCGCAAGACTTACCCCTGACTGAGATCCCGGATCCGGCCCGTCGGCAGAAACTCGCCCTGTGACTTGGGAAAATATAGCCACCAGAAGCTCTACTTCGCGGGTGGTGAGCCTTTCGGCCATGTTGGAACCATAGTGACACTGACAGAGATTTTTTAGCATCGGCGACTGGTGGCAATGATGCCCGCTAGCTCCAATCTCTCCCCGATTATCCATTCAAGCATGGCGCACGATCCCACGTGGGTCATATAGGGGCTCCCTCGCCAATTGCATTCCTTCTCATTGGTGATGGACTCCGTGCCCGAAAGCCATGCACACTACCTCATGCGACCTAGGTATAGTTCTAGAAAACTCGTCATGCGGCTGAATGTCCAACATGTCAGTTCAGCAAGGGTTCGCAATGGCGTTTTCCTCGGGAACCATGTTCGCAGGTCATCTATACAGTATCAAACTATAGTTCCAACCTGTGAGCCTTAAACAAAGGGATCCCTGTTTCACCATAATCCATCGTTCTTCTACAAAACCGCCCCAAAAGCCTAAGGATTGCCAGAGTTTCTTTCAAAATGGCCCCTTTCCCAAGGCGCACCGGACGCCAAGTGTTGGCGGTGTTCGATACGAGCGTTCCGCCCTCGGATAGTTCGATTCGAATTTCCCCCTTGCGTGCGATCAGCCGGTGATATTCCACCACACCTGGCATCGATCCATGTCCACCGGATCTGGGACGCTTAATAAATTGCCCGCTTGGATGTTCAAGACTTGGCCTTGTGGCCAATAAGAGTTCCAGACTGTCGCATTGGCAGTGGAAGAAGAGGGCTGGCCCTGTTGCACAAAGGAAACGATATAATCTTGCATGGTCAACGCAACGTCGGCATCGACGACGCTCGAATCGGGGTTTGTAGGGTCATAAAAGGTGAAGTATAGATCTTCTGAGTGCAGACCTGGAGCCACAGCGAAACTGTACCCGTATACGGTCTCCAAGGCAGTGCTCAGGTACAGGTTTTTGCACCTGAAGAAAGCGTCGCTGATTGTCAGAGCTAATCTTCCAACCGCATCGCTATAGCCCAGGCTGGCTGCTGGGGTGTTGAAGGTTGGTGGATAGAGCGTCTGGGCGATGTCCTCCGCCACTTCGGGGACCATATTCGGGATAAAGTCGCTCAGGATAGTCGAATAGGCCGAGCTGTTCACTCCTGCTGGCGGAGTGAAGATAAGGCCTTCGTTGGAAGTATGGCCTGTCATGATGCGAAGACCCTGCCATGCGAAGCCGGGGTCGAGCAAGATGTTACTCGGCAAGTCTTTGATGAGTGATCCATCTACAACCGGTCCATAAGTGAAGGTTCCGTAAACGAGCGTGTTCGCGATTTGATATGCATTGGCCGCAATCAACCGATCCGATAGAAGAGACCGTGCCTCTTCGATGGATGAGACATTCAGCAATTCGAGGAATGCGTCTCGCGCTGACGTTTGCTGGTTCACCGTCAAGGGATACCACATGGGACTCTGGATGATGGCCTGGTGAAAGGGCAGGTATTTTGCTTCCTTGTTGCCTCCATAAGCGGCCAGTTGATGAACGATGGATCCTGCGCCAGCTGACTGACCCATGACGGTGATGCGGTCCGGATCTCCGCCAAACAGGTTAATATATCGCTTCACCCACTCCAGTGCGAGACGTTGGTCGTAGAGACCAGCATTAGCAGTGGTCCCATTGCCATCGGATAACCAGCCGAAAGCTCCTAGCTGTAGAAGTCAGCACCGCCATCGAGCCTCGAATCAAGAACAGGGACCTACCCGATAATTAAGTGCAACATAAACAATCCCATCCTCGTCGAGCATATTGCGTTGCATCAACCCTCTGGGGTTTTGCTCTGACTTATCGCCAGAGATATACCCACCGCCATCAATCCAGACCAGGACCGGAGCCAAATCTTTGCCTTCTTTCTGGTGCTTTTGCTGAAGAGCTTTCTGGTCAAAAATCTTTCTAGGGACAACAACATCCAAGAACAGGCAGTCTTCAGTCACTCTCTCGTCGCCCCCTATCGACCCGGCGAAGGGTGAATAATCCCTCGCGGGACTCGTCGACGCTTCTCCCCCTTCTACTGATGCCGATGGCGAAGCTGCAGCCGATGCAGAAGACAACACCTCGGCCACAAACTCGGGCATAACATCTTCCTCCCACTTCAACGTAGCTTGCGGACACACCCGTCCCTGTGCTCCGGTCTGCACTACCGACCGGTTTCCTTGAGCTGGGGGAATCGGTGGTCGGAAGCGAAAGGACCCCGTCGGTGGCGCAGCGTAGCGGATATTGCTGAAGTTGTAAGTTTGCGATTGCTCCTGATTCCCGTTAGGACCGGGTCTTTATAGTCAGGATCAAGGTGTGACATACATCCAGGGAGAAAGCCTGATGGAGCTCGTACCCCAGATCTACGATGGGGAGGTTCGATTTTGTTGTTGTTGTTGGTGCTGCTCCTGCTATCCCTAGGAGAAGGATAGATTGGAGGAGTAGGGGGGTCGTGACGTGCATTTTCCTTGTCTGTGGGAGCTGGAGGGGCCAGTTGTTTCATTTCTCGAGTAGGTTGGTGTATTCTGGGTGGTCGGGATTCTCTCGCAGGGAGGGCGTTTCTACATATAGATTATCCAGATCTCTCTCATGTGAATCAAACACGGCAGGCAAGAGCCGAAATATTCAATCAATATGCAATTGATATTGGGAATCGATGTATCCGGGAACGGGTCTGAATTGTTTTCCGGATTCGGAAGCGAAGTATAAGGCTCGGGTACCGTACCAGGTTGGGAGTCAAACAAGGGATGGATGGCGGCGCCCCGAGGGACTGGAATGTGATCGATGGCGACGGGCCGCAACTGGTGTCCGTCTTTTTCGTCGTAGTTCCCAGGTCACGGGTTACCGGGGGACGAGTGAGGAGAAGGGATCCTGATGCTGTAGCTGGTGGGATTCCTTTTGTTCGTTGTTAGGGTCTGTCTACATTTGGTTGAAATTGGGTGCGTTGTGTTTACACCTCCGGCCTCCCACTCGCAGGACCCTATAACTCATACACTCGTAGATGAGCTAAACCTCCTATACCATGACCCACCAACGATAGTCCAACAAACACCAGCAATCAATGTCACCATAACCCTATCCTATCCTACACAAACAACCACACCTCCAGCTCCAGCTCCCCCTCCCCCTCCACAAGCCACCACCATACCCAGCTGAGCTGACCCCCTCAGCCTAATGAAGAATCCTGCACCTCCCGCACCTCAAACCCCATCATCGCATTCGACACGACCCCACCATCCCCCCGCAACTTCAACGCAGTCTCCACCCCCGCCGCCGGAACCCGATACTCCCACCTCCTCCCCTCTGCCGTGTCCTCCCCAGAGCCCTCCCCAGCCACCGCATAAGGAAAAGGCAAATACTCCGGCAACAGCCCCAGCTGCCTCAACACGGTCGCCTGATCCCACGCGATATGCTCGTGGAACAACCGATCGCCGCGGATATTCACGACGGCGGTGAAGGGCACGCGGAGGGGCCGTCCGGTGGGCGGCACACCGGGCACCAGCCAGTCGACGACGCGGTCGTGCGTCATGCACAGGATGAACTCGTCGACGACGCGGTCCACGCCGACGGTGCGGCTGACCAGCTCGAGCGCGGTGTCCGCCGGGTTGGCGAAGATGAAGTGCTGCGCGTAGAAGCGCGTTAGGGCCGCGCGGCCGGTTCCGCCTGTTATCTGGGCAGCAAATCGTGTCATTGAGGGGTTCGTTGGTGGTGGTGGTGTTCCAGCAAACCATGCAGGCAGTCGGTAGGCCACCATTTAGGGCGCTAACGCTATTGCTAACGCCCTCCATCTGGCCCCCATCAACACCCGGGTAGAAAGGGGAGACATACCGTCGGGATGTGATTCACATACGGCTCCTGCACCATGGTCGCCATGGTGTTCTCGACCGACCGGTCCCCGAACTCGTGGTGCGTGTGCGCCTCCCAGATCTGCTCGAGGTCGAAGTACGGCCCGCCGGTTCGGGGTTTCAGGAAGGTCAGGGAGCGCGTGTGCGCGACGCCGGCGGCGCGCAGGTCGAAGTCTGCGTGGCCTGGGATGATGAAGCCTGGTGAGCGGGTCGAGGGGTACTGATAGGTCTTTGTGGTGGTGGTGGTGGTGGCGGCGGTGATGCTCTCCGCGAGGGTCTGCCCGGCCGGGAGGTGGAATAGAGCTGGGATGGTTGGGCAGGGGCTCTCCCATGCGCTGAAGTAGATCGCTGCCGCGGGGGCTTGCTCGGGGGTAAGGGCTGTGATGGACTGTTGCAGGAGCGCGGGGAAGGAGGGGGCGTAGTCGCGTGGGGAGCCGTAGACTTTGTACCTTGTGTTTTAGCTCGTGCCTCGCCTCGTACCCGACTAAATCGCTGTGCTGGAAGACGGGTGATGTTGGGGAGACTGGAGCTCACCCAGAATCCCGAACTTCAGGTTGTCACCATGGCCACGGCCGCTGCACTGCGGGCATTTGGATAACGCCCGCACAGCAGCCGAAATCGCATCCGAGACACCCACCGCGTCGCCGCTGCTCACCGTGTCAAGGGTGATTTCCACCACGGTGTAGCTCTCCTCCGCCCATTTCTGTAACGGGGCGGGGTCGAGCGTGGTGTTGTTTGTCTGGCAGCCCACCGAGTTGGCGGGGCGGATGAGGAGGAGGCCGGGGCCTTCACCGCAGCGCGAAAGCGGGGGTTGGAGGGTGATGTTTGGGGATACGGTGATGGCGGGAGCGGAGGGAAGGGAAGACGAGGTTGTAGTCATGATTGATGATATAATAAACTTGGGGCTGTAGTTGTACTGTGCATTTCATCGTCATGGGCAAGCTACCTGCGGGGAACGACGGCTCTGATATATGAATGGCTCCGCCGCTATGTCGGATCGGATCCCGGCAATGCTGCCAGCGGGTGACCGTTGATAAGAACGGTAAAAGCAAACCATTGGGACTCGATGCGGGGATCGGACTCGATATCGATATCGATAACGATAGGAAACTCTGATTTGGGATGGGGACGATCCGGACAAAAACAAAAAGAAGATGTGCATCATCCGTGAATCGAACACGGGCCTCATCGATGGCAACGATGAATTCTACCACTAGACCAATGATGCTGGTTGATGTCAGAGGCAAGCAAGTTTAACAATATGATACTATGAAAATGCTACCAAGACACGGAGCTGTCTGATCGAGTTTCCCAAATGCGACATATTCAAGGCTTGGTTTGGTTCCTTGGCTGTATTATAACGAATCTATTGATCATTTAAGGAGAGCACTACAGGATCATAAAATGTTAGGATACTCAACATCCCGAAGCCTGATTGTCATCAGAGTAACCGGGCCTCATCACAATGAATATATCTGATACCCCTGTCCGGTCGTTCAGACAACCCAGATCCCTCAAGAGAAGCACACCTACACCCATGGCAACAGCATAAACCCAACCTCCAAACAACGACACACCTACTTCAATCCATACAACGAAAAGAAAACCACCCCAAGAATCTATTCCGCTACCAACCACGAGAAAAGACATCCCATGAATCAAAATCATAAATCACAAAACAGGGAAACGGATTCCCCATCAACCACCAAAGTTACAAACCGCAACAAGCAGAAAGCCGTGTAAACCATAAATCACAACGTCACGAAAGAGATACGCAACACGAAGAAGAAGAAAAAGATATGTACCCATTTAACTTGCGCCACAACGCTACCCGCGCAATGCCACGAATGCGAAAGGAATTCTCTCTACCACCACCCCGGGCATACTGCAAACTGCAAACCCAAACCGAAAGGAGGATTACTCCTCGCCCAAGCTGTCGCGCACGCACTTGCGCACCCGCTTCTTGAACTCCTGGGGGTTCTCGCGCCATAGCCGCGCCGCCTCGACGTTGGCGGGGCTCTCGTCGTTGGGGCTGGACAGCATGGAGATGACGGAGAGCAGGATCGTTTCGGGGGTCTGCACGGGGGACCAGCGCTCGGCGGCGGATTCGTAGCCGTATTTGTCCTCCTCGGGGGGGTGGAGGATGGAGATGCAGACGTCGCCGTTGGGGTAGACTGTGCCAATTTCATCCTTGTGTTAGTATCACGTCGAGGTAGAAGTGAGAGCTGCTAGCTAGGTTCGAGTCCACGTTCGCTCCGGAGACAGGGCGGCGGGAACATACTGTTCGGGTGGAAGAGAGGAGTCTCGAACTTCATCTTCGGCGGCATGTGAGGGTAATCCGGGGGAAAGGAGAGTCTGGCGCGGAAGAAACCACCTGCGATTTTTCACACCATTCCTCGCTGTTAGCCATGCCACTGACTCGGAATCAAACGACCAGAAAAAAAAGACTCACCGCCGTAGAGCTTGACATCATCCGAGATCATGAGCATCACCTCCCACTCGAAGACGTTGTTGTCGACCAATCCACAGCTGATGCCGGGGATGTCCTTGTCCGATTGCATCTGCTGCAGCTGCCGTGACAGCATGCGACCGGCGGCGGTGGTGGCCATGGCGTTGACGTGGAGGGGAAAAGAGGGGGCGGCGGCGGCGGGGGAAGGGAAGCAAAGGAGGGGATTGTTGCGAGGGGGTGAAACGAGGTGGAACGGGATCGTGAGAGGGATGAGAGGTGGTGTGGGTAGCGGCGAGAGAAACACGCGGGCCTTAAGTGGCTCTAAGAAGAGTACGCTCGTACAGGTGAAAAGAGGTGAGGTGAGAATCTCCCCAACGAGAAGAAGGAATGAGACCAATGTGACTCTGTATACCCTGGGGGAAGAGGATCGACAAACGGACTGACTGGTCAGAGGAGAAATATCGATGGATCCAAGGCGGTGTGCTCGAAAGGGAGAGTGGGGTGGCGGGGCCGCCGTACGATAACGTCTCATCCCCCGATAGCCTCCCCTTCACTGGCTCGATCGCCCTTGGTGGCGCAAGGGAGGTGCCTGTCTACGTAGTGATGGATGAGGCAGCTTTTCCTAGCCCAAGGTACTCACGGCCCATGCGTGACTACGTACATGTCAGGATATGTTAGTGCGACGTCAGCGATTTAACCCTACTACCGAACTACAACTCTAAGCTTTAATGAATCCAGACCTGCGTATGCCTGTGGAATCCATTCCACTACTTAGACCATGGTGATAGATACAAGAGAGTGGAGGGCTCAGCCGAGTTTGAAACAGAATTTATTCACATATATAAACCGGAGACACGTAGTCCAAATGACAGAAGGAGGGTGAGGGTCATCGTAACGGTGGAGGGCAGAACAAAACGTCAATCTGCTTAAGCGTTGTTTCCAGGGAACCCGTAAGTCACAGCGCCGGCGAGGATCTGGCCGGTAAGTAGCAGCGTGAAGAACATAGTCACGCCGGCCTCGATAGCGACCGCCTTGCACATCGACTTCACGAAGCGGGTCAGTGCAGCGCGATCGAGGGTCTTCCAAGCATCGGAGATGCTGAGCTTACCACTGCCACCCAGGATGGCAGGCTGCACCTTGCCGCCGTAGGAGCGGTCGAAAGGCACAATAGCCTCATCTTCTTCAGGAAGCATGGAAGCAGCCACGCGAAGGAAGATAGCCCGCGCAGGAATGGAGGCCACAAATGACACCACGGTGGGCACAAGGAGGAGGCCATAGATGGTCCAGATAGCCTTGGTGAAAGAAGGATCGGAAGGGGTAAAGGAGTCCAAGTCCTTGAGTCCGTCAAAGCCGCCGAAGGCCTCGATAAGGAAAAGGGGAGCGTACAGGCCGGCGCCGGTGACAGCATGCTCGAATGCCGCAACGGGAGCGATCCGCTTCCAAGTCTGGAAGCCCCCGATGCGCTGGTAGAAGCGCTTCGGAGAGGGCTCCGAGATGACTATGTGAACCCACGCGAGCTGGAGGTTGGCCACAAGCACGCCGCTGAGAACGTACATGATGTAATGAGGAAGGAATGCTGCAGCAGAAAAGGGCACCAGGGAGTATACAGCCGACTGAGCAAAGCAGTAGGCCAAGTACATGCTCAGCCCGCGGAAACGGGACCAGGGACCGGCCCGGGCGCGAAGATGGCGGATAGTGGTGCATAACTTGTTGGTGATGGGCTGCGGGCGGGTCTCGATTTCAGGCTCGGTCGCATCGACGGGCTTGTTCGGGTCGAAGTCGGTATCGATGCGGACGTAGATATCAGGGTTCGTATCTTCCACGATAGCGAGGGTAGGAACCAGCTGTCCGTAAGTGTACTCGACCTAGAATAGGCATTAGGATGACGCGACAAATTGAACCAACTCGGAGGAATGCTTACCGAAAGAAGAATGGCAATGAAAGCGAGGACGGTGAAGATGAAGAAAGCCGACAACCACCCCGCCAAGTGGATGGTTGGCTGGCTCTGGGAGGGCTGCTTGGACTGGTAGTCCACAGCAGCCTCCACTCCTCGACGAAGGAGGGAAGAGATGGCCATGGTGGGCGATGGATGAACTCGGTAGGGGTCAGAGTTTAGTTGAAGGATAGGTGGTGTGATGATATATGTTGACAGTTTTGATAGCGAAAGACGAACAGTTGGATGATGGGATGATGTTGGAGTGAGGCAAGACAAAGAATTATAAGCCGGGGGAGGGAAAGGGAAAGGTGGGTGAGATTAGTTCATTTCGAGGGGGTGCCTGGGGGGTGCCTGGGGGTGCCTGGAGGCTACCACAACCTGAAGGATCAGGCAGACACTCATCCAGTCACAGGCAGTAACGCGGCTGAGCAGCCTATCAGCGGGTTGCCCAGGTTGGCTGGTCTAATATTAGTGCGGCCGAAGTGGGCCGATACGATGGAGAACTTGAAGTTAAGGAGTTTTAGATGTATTCTTAGCAGCCGATGATGGCAATATGTGGATGGTCAATAGGATTGTCTTCTGAGAATAGATTTTTTCCATAGAAACTTTAAACTTCATCTCACCCACCGATAAATTATTGTATTGTCGTGATGTACCGGCATTCAAACCCATAATAAAGCAGACACCTATATATGCCCCGAATCCCAGCCGAACAACCTCATCATAGATTATCAAAACAACTCACCGTAATGGTAACCTGACAAGCCCCAATGCAAGCAAGTTAAGGCATCTCATCCGGCTCCCAAGCCAGCTCCCTTGTCTTCATCTGCTCAACCTTCCGACTCACAACCCGTTCCATACACAGTCTCTCTTGCTCAGTCAACAACGCCAACCTCTCCTTCCAGCGATCTTCGACAGCAACCGCACAAGGACCAAAGAACCTGGAATCAAGCCTCTCCCAGAAAACCATATCAAAAGCAAAGCTCTTCCTCGCAGCATACGCGACCCAAAAATCACCATTCTCCCAGCTCCGTCGCATGGGACCCGAAAGCCTTTGCTCCGGGTTCAACCTGCCTGCCCGCAGGGCTGTCTCTTCGCGCTCCACCAGAACCTTGAGAAATGTTTTTAGACGACTTTCAAATATCCTTTCCCACGCCTCTACCCCATCAGACCAGTACTCCGGCTGTTCGAGCAGCAACCACCAAGGCGGTGCCTGAGAGAACTGAACCGGCGCCGCATAGGTGAACTCCCGGTCAACGACACCGACGATCTGCCCGCGCTCGTTGAGCAGGATGTTCGAGGGCCGAAGGTCGTCACACCAGAGCGTGAACGGTCCGTGGTCGGTTCTTGAGGAGGCCAGCCGCCCCCGCTCACCGGCGAGTCTGGAGAATAGCCGGCGGGCGACGAACCTACGCCGACAGTCATCTGCAGAGTCTACTGTGTCGTTGCGTTGGTGGTACAGATGCTCGCAGTGCAGGTTAACGAGGGCCTGGAAATAGTCGGACGCCGTCTCGAAGGTGGTGGCTGGCAGTTTTGAGCGAGGAAGAGTCCCTAAGCGGACGAGCTCAATCATGGCCATCGATAAAGGCCGGTGCTTGGGTTCCCAGGTGAAGTCATCTACCAGCATTAGAGACCCAATCCGGGGTAGTGAGCACCGCGACAGTTGCAGCAATATGTCTGCGAGCTGTCCGTACAACATCTCTAGCTTTCCAATATCAACTGCCGGATCAAGAACCGGGCGATCGTCAACCCCGAGAGTGGGCGTGTTCAACGCCTCGCCCAGATCCATAGCATGCTCGATGTACTCCATCAGAATGAACGGGCCGAGACCAAGCGGGCTCTCTTCCCCTGTGCCCCAGTGTAAAATAAAAGGTACCGGGATCGAAGTATGCTCTTGGATGTACCGCATCGTCGCGACTTCATGCTTCACGTTTTCCTCCGGGAACCTGGTCGTCCCAGGCTTGGAGAAGCGGATCAGCGCCGAGCCACCGTCCTTCAAACTTCATCCGAAATGACACATTAAATGTCCCCGCTCGGGGCTGACACAGTTCAATTGGGACGCCTCGTCGGTGTTTGATCACGAAGTCGCCGATGGCCCGGAGGGTGTCGGGTTGGAATAGGCCGGCCACCCAGCTGTCGGAGTCGGTTTCGCTTGCTTCCCAGGCTGCATCGTCGAAGCGCATGCGGGGTTGCATCTTTCGTGGGGAGGGGTTTGGATTCGAGGTTATGGAGAGGAGAAGTGGAGATGGAATTGGGTTGATGGGTGATATAGGTTCACTCCTTATTGACGTGTCATATACCGAGTGCTCGTTGCGATGCAGGGATACTTCGAAGCCCAAATATCAATAAGAGGGGTATGCTAACACATCCTGGCGGAGATCGAGTTTAGTGAATTGAACTAGTGGCTGTAGCGCAGATGAAGGGAAGGAAGAGCAGATAGATGTGACATCCCCGATGGCTAAACATGTACAGTTTCGAATGTACTGTACTCCTAGACCAAATGGCTGCTTCAGCCACGTACTAAATGAAGGCCACGCGCTAATCGTCCACCTACCCCTTGGTTCAGCTAGCGTCCCTGAGTATGAACACTCATCTGTGCAACGCTCAAGAAATGCCCAAAAATCGTGCATAGCTCATGACATGCATTATCGTCACAGAAAAGAAAAAGCTAATATACAGTATCGTACACATCGTCCTAATCGCTCGCTAAAAGAAACTTAACCTCGCTACCAAGTCATCATCATTATAACCATCATGATCATCACCATCATCAAAACCCACAAAGCCCAACCAGGGGCTGTTATCTTAGACCATAACACCGGTGACCCACCGCGCCGCGGCCCTCACCACGCCCTCCACGATATCCATCTCCCCCTCGTCCCGGGGCGCATACACCATGACCCAACCCTGCGGCACGGCCGGCAGGGGGAACCGCTGGCCCCAGCCCTTCTCGATGACCTCGCGGGCATCGACGTCACTCAGCCAGACATGCAGGCTGTTCTCGGCCGGGTGCATGTGCGCGATCTCGTAGCTGAGGATGCGGTCGCCCGCCAGCGGGTTCAAGGTGGGCAGGTTGCGACGGGCGTACAGGCCGTCGGTGGTGCGGCCCTCGGTGTGCGAGGGCATCAGGTCGAAGAGCTCCGGGTGGGCGGTGGCCAGGTCGCGGACGAGGGCGCGCAGCCGCGCCTGCACGGACGGGTCGATGGGCTCCGGGTACTGGCGCTGCGGGAGGGTCCGCGGCATCATGCGTGGTCGCGGGCCCGAGCGGAGCGGGAGCGTGCCCGTGGGCAGGTAGGAGGGCCCCGTCTTCTGGAGCGGGGCGGGATCGCGGAGGTTGTGGTGGCGGTTGTTCTTGGTGAGGGCGCGTCGAGCCCGCAGTTTCGACATGCGCATGTATCCTCTGCATTTTTCTTTTGGTTAGTTCGTTGTAGTTTAGGTAGAGAGGGTGGGATGGAGTGTTAATGGGTAGGAGGAACTTGCAAGACAAACTTACGCCCAGGTTGGCGGAGTCCCGCCCGTACCAAATGCTTTCCATTCGCGGAAGTCGTTGACGGCCCTATACACCGCAGCACATACCCCGTTAGCGCCATAGACCCTAGATTCCTGAGACCAAGCTTATGAAGTGGTGGTTCCGAAAAGAAAATAGGGTCGTCTCATTCAAGGTACCAGACAAGGCCAATGATAGCGGTCGCACATAGCCCTGTGACCACCGGATTGGATTTCAAGGTTTCAAAGACATACTTGGATGAGGTGGATAGCGCTGCCATGATTACCGTATGTGAACAGGAAAGGAAAGTAAGACTAGAGTATGGAAGAGTCTGAAGTGGAGAGAGTGCAATGAAATTGATGACTGACGTCAAGTGCTGGCTTGTTATCCTTGCTGGAAGGCTTGAATTTTCTCACTCCAAGGGTTCAACTTTGGGCTCATTTTAATAGCATCCATTGTGCCAGTAGCTTGGGAGCTCTGTTCATCTTCGCTGATGGTGGACATACGCAATTGACCTCATACCAGCGTCATGAATGGCATGGAGCGCCATCGGAGAATTGAAAAGGGTTCGCCACAGTGAGGGTAAAGTGAGGTGAGCGAAGTATGGGGGAGCTCAGACCTACACAGACACACAATAGTATTAGCACAGCTGTTCCACTTAGTCAAATTCTCAATTTGGGGGGGGGAGGCAATATGCATCGATGGGCAGTGGTTAGGGTATGAGGTATGTGGATCTGGTAAACAACTGTAGAGTTGAAGATATGATGAAGAATGATGCGGATGGGGGGCTAGAACGGGCGGCGATCGTCCAGAGTCCCTGAATGACGTTATCCCCGCCTTGACGGTTGCAACAACTGGCAAATGAACGCATCGCAACCCATGCCCACCGCAGTCCTTCGAGAATCCATCGAAGGTGAGCTTCGCTGCGGCATGACCCGGGGTGTAAACAGTCAATTAGTTCTTTACTCAGACAACGAAGCTGCTGGCGAAGCTGCTGAAGTGACTTCTACGATCAAAGCTGTTCCACATACAATTTCTCCATGTCGTAGGCCATGCAAGAATCAGATGTCAAATATGCATGCAATCAGTCATCCGATTATCCACTGTCTGCTGTTGGGAGGCGAATGCCCTGCTGGGAAGGCGGGGTCCTGATATCAATAGCTTTGTTCAGCTCGATGCTCGTGTGGGGCCGGTCTATTTGACGGTTGCATACCGGATCTGCAAGTCATCGGGGTGACATTCCTTGGAATCACTAAGGTCGCTTCTCGAAGTCGACTTGCTCATTCTAGTTGATGGTTCTTTCGTGTACGCTCAAATCTCAACGCACAGAAATCTGGACTCAGAAGACCCTGGGATCTATAACTGCACAATGGTCAAATCGCATTAATGGCATAGTCCCTGAGAGACTACCTAGAGGAAGATCACAAGATTGCGAGGGAAGCAGAATTCAAAGAATGTATTGATTCAAGAAGCTAATGACAAGTCCTGCATACCATTAATCCATCCGCCCTGCTCTAACCCCCGTGGCCAGAGCAGGAGACTGGCACATTATCTACTAGTCATTAACGCATGACCCGTCATATTAGAATATACAAGCCGCATTAGAAACATCACAAGTCATAAACCGTAATAGTGAGATACACCCGAGTCAAAGTTGTGCTTCGATGCTGGACGCGACCGCAGCCAAGATTAAGCGACCAACCTATCGTAATCGTTCATTTAGATGAGAAGCATGGCAGCAAGTCCGAAAGCACCGAGAGCACCGCTGCCAGCGACGTTCAACTGAGAGGCAGCGCCGGTGGAGGTCGAAGAGCTTGCGGGGGCAGTGCCGGTGCCAGTGGAGGAGCTACCAGAAGAGCCGCTACCGGAGCTGCCGGTGGAAGAAGAACCGGTGCCAGAAGCCGAAGAACCAGTGCTGCTGAGAGTAGCAGTGCTCAGCGTCGTGCTGGTGATGGCACTAGTGATGGTGGTCTTGGTCTTGGTATGGTCAGCATATTAGCTCGAGGGAGAAGACAAGAGGGTACTCACAGTTCCAGCAGAAGTAGTGGATGCGCCACTGGTGGTACCAGAGTTGGTTCCAGTAGTCACGGTGGTGGTGGTAGCCGCACCCGTGCCGCTGGAGGTACCGCTGGTGGTACCGCTGCCACTGGAGGTCGAAGCAGAGTTGGTCGAGACGCCCGCAACGCCAGTGGTGGTTCCAGAGGCAGTGCCAGAAGCAGTTCCGGTGGCCGACGAGCCCGAGCTAGAGCCGCCTGTAAAGTGCAGGTTAGCATCTTTCGAGTCAAGAATCACACCCAGTGTTGGTGATTTGGTCACATACTAGTCGAGCTAGGGCAGGAAGCCAGAGCCGTGGACAGCACAGCGGCAGCGTTGTCACCAGGGCAGGCCTGCGCAGTGCAGTCGCGGATACCATAGCTGTAGTTGACGTTGTTACACAAGCAGCTGAGATCGCCGCTAGAGCAACCCAACTCGGAAGCCTTGTTGTTCATGTTGTTGACGCACATTTGCTAGAACGCGATTAAGTCAGTCGCCGTCGACCAGCACTTGTTCCTGTCAGGTAAACATACTGCGCAGTCGCTGACGGAGATAGCAGCATTGGCAAGGTTGGCAGCAGCCAACAGCACCATGGAAAGCGAGAAAGTCTTCATTTTGAAGTGATAGAGAGCTGGCACGCGCAAAGAATGAGGATAGATCAAAGAAGCGATGGGAGGCAAACAAGAGGGGGTATCAACGAAGTGATCGACGCGGAGCACGAAGACGAGTGTTGTGGAACGGAACGATGGTTGATGTGGAAGGGAGAAGGAAAAGAAGTGAGAGGCAACAAGAGGGAAGATGAGCCGATTTAAGTTATGAGGAGGTGGGAAAGAGCGCGCAAATCATTCATTGCCTGAAGTGCTTTCCTTTTCCTTCTTTCTGTTGTTGGCCGCATCGAGACTGTTTTTTTTTTTCTTTCTTATTTTTCTTTTACCCGCTGCGTTGATCCCTAATCTCCACTCTTGTTTGTCCACTTAGTTTCCTTTTCAATTTTTTATTTTTATTGTTTTTGATTTTTTCTTCTTCCTACCTAGCATCAGTCTAAGACCAACTAGCACGATCGTCACTGGCCGATGGATGATTGTTTTTTCAGGCAGCTGTCCAGCCAACGTGGCTCAGGACAGCTTCACAGTGCCGGGTGAAGTCATGGAGTCATGATCTCCACTCGAGCTAGCCCTATCGTTCTTGATCCCTACGCAGCAACAGCCTGTTAAAGATTGACTGCTGTGGCTCACTTGAAGCTCCTGGCTAGCCCTACAATGCCCTCATAGGTTGATCGTGAAGGAGGATGCATTAGTGTACTGCAACCACTGGCTATCACGAGTGCCAAAATCAACAGCGCTGCAGATGCGCCCAGATGGGGTTCCGGGAAAAGGGACTGCTTGCTGTGGCTGGGGGGTTTGCGATCAACCCAGACCCAGACTCCGAACTCCACCCATCATCGACATCTCGAGCTTCATTGGTCTACCTCAGTCTATCTGGACGGTCTGCTCACCGAATTTTCTATGTTATCGTTTGGGATTATTTTTTTTTTTGTTTTTTTTTCGGGGACATTGACTGGCTTTGGAAATGGCCGATGGTTCGATTGATGAAGCTTTTAGCGGGTGGTTCTCTCATCGGAGAGATTTGTGTAGGAATGACGGCACGATGAGAGATGGGCTGTCCTACAAACTACGTCAGAGTCGATGCCACTGCATGCTGGGTACCCAAGATTTGACTAGGGATACTTTAGTAGGGTTTTGCTGGTGGTCGCTGCGCTGCTGGCTGGTTAAGACCGACAGGATGGATGCAGGGGATCGTCGCTGCCGATCCTTATTGGGCCCTTTGTCAATCAGCCCACCGCTGATGTGGCTGACCGTCGGCTCACTAGCCACTTATGGATGTGGATGTCACAGTCACTGCAGTCGCTGCAGTCACTGCACTGGGCAATGAGGGGAACCGGGCACCGCACGGCTTGAATCGCTTCCAGCAGCTGTGGGGAAATGGTTGCTGAATTTTCCACCACCAGCTCGAAGTCTCGAAACTTTATCTCTGTCCAGTCGGTCGCTAACCATGGACCGACACGGGATCTATTAGCTTCGGCCGCCCGCGAAAGATAGGTTAGGTGGTGAACGTGGGAGGGCTGGGACCAGCCACCTTTGTTTACTTCTCTCAAGGTTGCCTGAACCTTGAGATCCTGAGGTGCAGGAGGGGTATGTTAGGGACTAGACTGCATCGCAGAACCAAGGTCATCCTGGATAAGAAAACTGCTCGAGCACTGGAGCACTGGAGCACTGGAGCACTGGAGCACTGGAGCACAGGTGGAGGGTTCCCCATCTGGTGGTCGAAGCATAGTCCAAACAAAAATCGGGTCTTTCTCACTAGCGATCAAAATACTCCGCTCCACTCGAGAAGAAAGAAGCTTCCAATGCGGTCGGTCAATGTCAATTCCAGTTGTTTTTGTTTGTGGCGGTGCAGTCCCGAGTTACTGCACTGAGTCGCCAGCGGCTGTTGCTTTTCCTCTTTGGGATCAGCCCCGGAGCTCGACCGAGAGAGAAGAGTGACGTCATCTCTTTTGAGAAGGAACAACAGCGAGCCTGGAGGAGGGTCCAGCACTGCTCCAGGCTGTAAGGGATTTTTGTCCACTTGTCCCCATCACCATTAACATCAGCTTCATGTCACACTCTCAACCAATCTCCTGACTACCAGGAATGTGGCTTCACCCTCATTTCCGATCGTTGCATGCGAGGGCCACCCCTGACGCTACAATGGAACCCATGATGCATTACAGCGAACAAGAAGTCTAGGGAGTTATGACTTCAGTGAGCATGGGCAGAAGTTTCTTCGAATCCTAATCGCCCCAGGACCCTCCTGAGCATAGAACTTTATTTGACTCTAAAATTTAAGGGAGTGGCTGATCTGCTAGGGCTGACCACATGCAGCTGCATCATCTTGCATTTCCCAACCCTACCATTGGATTTGTACTGTACTTAAGCAGCATGTTGGCAGGACTCTAATTACATGCCCTGTGCCTTGATCTGAGGCAACTTTGTTCGCTCCGTCACCCTCTGCGACAAACAGAGACAGACCAAATTATGGATGACCCAATTTTTGCATCGACCTTGTGCCAGCTTGTCACCTCTTGCTCGTAAGACAAAATGATCAAGGCTTATGGCATTTCAGAAACTTGATAGCTCATGAGGATTGTCTCCACAATTACACAATATTGACAATATTTGCACAGAATCAGACACGTCCGAGCGCCGCCGTCATGGCAAAACAACACCCCACAGGCAACATGAATCATGGGATGAGAACCCCACCTGTCTACACCTACTAGTGTTCGTGATGGAAGGCGGCAGCATTCTCACCGGCTATTCTCCCGAAGACGACACATTCTAGAAGGGAAGAACCTCCTAGACGATTCTGGCCGTGAAGTCCGCCCGTGATCTCGCCTGCAGCCCAGAGACCTTTGATAGGAGCACCGTCCTTGTCCAACACTTGACTGTGCTCGTTGATCACGACGCCTCCCATGGTGAAATGAACGACGGGCGTGACTTGTCCCACGTAGACCACCGAGTCGGAACTCACATCCTTCAAGGTCCAGTTTCCGAACGAGGTCCGCCCGAACACGTCCGGCTTTTTGCCAGAGACCACATCGGCATAGCCGTGGAGCGTATCGCGAACGAGAGGGAGAGCAAGCCCAAGCTCGCCGACCGTGGTCTTCCGCATCAGCCCCTTCCACAGGTAGAAATCGAGATGCGTTTTCGCAGCCGCCGCCGCGCCCTCATCCATCAGTAGCGTGACATCCCACTGCCGCAGCAGACTGATGGTCTCCTCCTCCAGCGGACTCGCGCTCACCATGACCGCGGCGGTGACCTTCTCGCGCGTCGTCAACTCATCGACAAACCGCCCTCCCTGACCATCCAGCAAGATCCCCCCTTCACCCCGCAGCGCCTCGGCTGCGAGAAACTTCACGCGGGCCGAGCGATCCTTCGCATCCACGAACCCCGTCGGGTGCACCTGGACCTGATCCATATCGACGACCGCCGCCCCGACCGCCTCCAGCAGCGGCTGCGTGCCTTCGCGGGCGTCATTCGTCGACGGGATCCCCGCCAGATCCGGCCGGTACCTCTCCAACAACCCATGCGTATCCCCGGCGAAGCCGCCCGTCGCGAACACCAACGGCCCATACAGCGTCTCGGTCCGATTATCGCCCCCCTCCTGCCCCGCGTCGACCTCCACCCCCAGCATACCTTCTTCCTCCTCGTGTTGGCCTTCTTCCATTTGAATCACCCTCGTGACTTTCGCATTCGTCCGCAGCTGAAACAGCGGCTCCCGATCCAGCGACTCCAGCAGCGCACTCACAATAGCAAACCCGGGCGGCTTCTGGCCGGCGCCGCCGCGGTGCGTGCGCGCGCGACTGTGGCCGCCGAGTTGCGTGACCGTGCTCAGATCGACGCCCTGCTCGTCGGCGAGCCAATGGACCGCCTCCGCCGAGGACGTGACCAGCGTGCTGATGAGCTTCTCGCGGCGCGCGCGCTCCTCGGCGACAGAGCTGGTGAGCGGGCCGCCGGCGGAGCTGAGCGTGTCGGCGAGGAAGAGGTCCGTGGCGTCGTGCTGGAGCGCGGGCTGGAACCGCGTCGGCGCGCCGTTGATCCCCGACGAGGCCTTGATGCTGTTCCCGCCGGGTTTGGCGGCGCGCTCGAGCATGATGACGGGGATGCGGTGCGCGATCAGTTGGGTGGTGGCGCAAAGCCCGGCCAGGCCGGAGCCGATCACTATGACTGCTTGTTCGGGGGACATGAGTAAGATGAGGTGTAGAGTCTGCGTAATGGTGTAAGAGAAGGGAGGAGTATTTGGGAAGGTGATGTGAAAGAGTGGTAAGTTAATTGTAGAAGCGGAGGTTGTGTGAGATGATGAGGAGGAGGATCGATCATACGGTACGAGCGTTTCCCCGCATCGCCGAATAGGCCCTGTATCACACCACTACTCCTGGTCGCTGTACCGTGGACCTGAGTCTGATTTCCCGGAATGGTCCGTGGTCCGTGGTCCGTGGTCGGGGAAAACCCATTGAATTGATGGGGGGTTTTATTCTGATCCAGGGACACAGTCGACCATCTTGAAGACGAGGGCCGATTGGTGGGGGGGCCGATGTCCAGTATATGACTCGGGAGGGTTTTAAGCATACCAGCCGGAGGTTAGTAGCTTTTAATGGCGGTGTTCCTCCGATGCCAGGGAGTAGAAGTACATGTGCTTTGAGTAAGACACTGTAACCATGCTGCCTGCTGTCTCTAAGCCATAGTCCCAATTAAACTGTATAATGGCCAACACAGTGTATCTGTACAACGAGTAGAAAGGGGTATACATCCAAAACGACCAGAGTCAAATTTGATCAACTGGCAAAAGAAAACGGAAAGCCACCACCATAACCTTCCAAGTTAGAAACAAAACCTCCCTGTTGTGTATATATATAACTCAAAGTGGTGTGTGTGTGTGTATCTGACGTAGGATATCACCCGGAAGATACATCCTCAAGTCGGCAAGTGCGAACGCAACACGTTTAACGCCTTCTCAAACTGCTCAGGCGAAACATACCGCTCTCGCTGCAGCGAGTCAACATCCACGCTTTGTGGATTCGCCCCTCGGCTTAACAGCATCTCCACCAGTTGCGGCTCCCCCAGGGCCGTGGCCATCGAGAGTGCCGTGTATCCATTGGCCAGTTCCTCATTTTTAATATTGATGTCCGCTCCGTGGTCCAGCAAGAATCCCATGCGTTCCTCTTGTCTCTGCCTGCAGGCAAGCAATAGCGCCGTGTCGCCGAATTTATCGGTTGCATCGATATCGGCCCCCTTCTCCAGGAGGAGCGACGCAATCCGCAGATGCCCGCCGTTGATCGCGCAGTGGAGTGGGGATTCGCCCCGGTAGTTTCTCATGCGCATATCGACGCCTTCTTCTTCTTCTTCTTCTTCCTCCACCAGCCGCCGGACGAGAGCCTCATCGCCTTCATCAACTGCATTGTAGAACCGTGCTTGCCGCGTCCACTTCTTCGCCTCTGACCCTAGACCCAGGTACGTGGAAAGGAAGGTGACCATCTCCTCGTTCCCGTTCGTCGCTGCTACGTGTAGAGCCGTGTGGCTGTGGTGGTCTTCTAGATCGGGTGCTGCGCCGGATTCGAGAAGCAGTCGGGCGGTTTCGGTGGTTCCAAATCCAGCGACCAAATGCAGAGCGGTCGAGCCCGCCGCGTTTTGTGCATTGACCCGAGCTCCGTTGTCCAGCAGGAACCGGACGATATCATTGTGGTCTGCTCGATGTAACGGGGTGTATCCATCGTTGACGGGGCCTTTGATCGCCTTGGAGACGTCGGCCCCGTGCTGGACCAACAGCTTGACCACCTCGAGCGAGGATTCGTGGCGCCATGGCCGGACCCCGTAGTGTAAAGGTGTATAGCCTCCTATGCTCCCAACTGCATTAGTGTCTGCCCCGCCTTCCAATAGCAACCGCACTATCTCAGGATTGTTGAAACTGGCTGCCACCGCCAGGGCCGCATCGCCATCATCATTGCGCTCGTTCAGATCGAGGCCGCCAGATAATGCCGCCCGAACCACCATAGCGAAACCCCAGACACATGCTGTGAACACCGGGGAATTCGTTTGACTGAGACTGGCTCGAATTGGAATGTGCAACTCCCGGGTGTCGAATTCATCGAGAGCAGCTGCCCATATCCGCAAGCACAGGGCGAAGCCACTGCTTGGCTCTTCAGGGGCGAGAAACTTGAAAATGAGCTGCTGAAGGGGGTGGTCTCTTCCTGCCTCCACCAATGCTAGTGAGCAATGGATGGGCCAGTACAACGCTGCGTACTCGAGCAATCCGTCTGCTTTGCTTGTATCTGCATCACTCTGAGAGCCTTCACTAAGCAGATACTTGAGGGAGGTCATTGCTGCCTGGGTATTCGCATCAGCGGTAGTATAGGCATGCCTTGCGCTGCTCATCAAATATTCCCGAACCGAAAGATGCGCAAACTGGACTGTCTGGTTATGATCGATGATGATGAAGTTACTGCAGATGGCCAAAATGTAGTCTGCATCCACTGCCTCGTCCACGTCACCCTTGGAGTCGAGAGACACCGCTTTCACGAAGACCTCGATATTCAGCGGTCTCCGGCAACACATGATCCATTTCAGTGCTCGCTCCGCAACCATGCGGTCCTCGAGTCCTGGCGCGTTCATTTCATAAATTTCGTCGTACACTTCCTCCAATTCTGGCATACCAGATTCCATCTCAAGCCGGTCAAGTTTTCTTTCGAAGACGTCTCGGCGCCGAATAATAGACTTGGAACTGAAGAATATATCCAGTTGCAGTTCGACCCATCGAAACCTATATTCTCTGTCAGTGAGAAAGCGAACAAGACACCGGGGACTGAGTTCCTGCACTCACATTCCTTGAGCGCGGCGACTCAATGTCTTGATCATTCGGTCCTCAAGATCCACCGCTTTGCATTGACGCAGACGTCGTTGGTTCTGCTTGATCTTGGTTTCGATGAAGTATTCGATGTCTTCTTTACTGTCGAGACCGACATCCACCCGGGCACACTCTGCAAAGGTCTGCTGCACGGGAACATGCATCCGACTCGAAAGTAGAAACTTGACTTTCCCCTGACTTGCAGAAATAATCTCTTCTAGGTAAGACAGGAGCTCGTCATAGTCGGAACATTCATCCAAAGCATCGATGATGATCTTTGTATGATCCTTAGATGAGATGAGCTGCGTTATCAGCTTTATACAGTCATCTGTACGCAGCCGATAACCCCCATGGCCCTGATTTTGCTGCCATTGTCGGTATTTCTCTTTGACGACGGGTGAGATTGAGCGATTGGTTGGTGACCAAGCTAGTTGACGCAGAAGGCTTCGGAGCAGAGACTTCGGACTGTTTGCTTCCTCTGTTCCCTGCTTTCTCGAACAGTAGAAGAATGCGAGTTGATGAGCTTCTTTGCCAACGGGAAGGAATACTTTCCGACATTGTTCAATAACAAGGCACCTTTGAAAGTCTCCAATTAAATTCCCGCTTCGTCTAAAACGGAGACTAGGCCAGCTTACATCAAGGAACTCTTGCCTGTGCCGACTAGATACCAAGTAAAGTTTCTTCAGCGATGGAATCTCACCAGGGCAACACTCGCTTACCTGGCCCAGGCAACCAGAGTACTGGCTGACTGTCGTCGTCGGCTCTACTCCACGACTGAAACTCCAGTCGGGAAAAGAGCCATTCTCCTGAATTGGCGTAGTCGCTGTTCAGCTTCCCATGCTCTAGGATTCGGGTATGGTCGTCGCCGGGCAAGGTAGTTGAGACCCAATCAAGGATTTCCGTATTCTCTGCTCGATTTTAGTTGTCTGCTTATGGGTCCTGCATATAATACGCACCACGCCAATCAGCATGGCTGAATAGTGCTTCACTTTGCACGTGTATATCGCCGATTTGACGAGATAACATTTCCTTTTGCTGGTCCTGTTGGTCCAAGATGTCCTTGAGCTCCCAGTGCCGGACCCTGTGTTCTGGATATTCACATTTTGTAAGCCTAGTCTCCACTCCAAGATCGGGGGGACGTTGTCGATATACCTTCCGAATCGAAAATGTGAGTAAACTTCCTACACTCTGCATCCGCGTCCGTGATATCTTGCAGTAACGTGCTCCAGTCATCAACCTTTGGAACTGCTCTCGCATACTGGACTACACAATGGAAGAATCAGTACATACGGGTAAAAAGCCGGTGGGGAAAATCAAACTCGCCAATACGGTGCCGCTTGCTGTGCGCGATGATCGTCCCCTGATATACCAAAATCCCGACGTAGAGCTTGACGACCTGCGCCCTGAAGTCTTTTTCGAAAGTGATCGCATCGTGCTTCCGTCGTTGCTCCATGTATATCTCCTCCACTTTCGCATATCTCGTGATGATGGGCGAGATGTGCGCGAGCCCCTGCAGCGCGGCAGCGTTCTGCTCGGCGCCACTCAACACGAGCTGTGACGCTTTTCGGGTGAGCCATCTCGAGCGAAACCCCTTCCCCGCGGGGGGTTTTTGGACATGGAATGAATACCTGCAAAATCAAATTCACGCCCGCCCACGCGATCCCGACATGGGACGGGTCGAGATTCGCGACCGCGCTGCCCACATCCCTGAACACCGTCACAGCTCTGAGGATCGTGTCCATGGCCCGCCGTCGCACTCTGGCTTTCTCGTGTGCAGCGCGATGCGTCCCCGCGGCAGGGGGATCTTTTTCGACCGTGCGATTTTGGCTGTCCATGATCGACTGCGCGATTTGGCCGGACAGATCGGCGCCGGAGGGCCCTTCGAATTGGGCGTGGAGCTGGGGGTGTTCCGTGCGCAGCCTCGCGGAGGCTTCTTGCCAGCATGTGCTCTCGCTGGCGATATCGGCGTCGTTGCACTTGGACTTGCGTGCGTCCATTGTGCGGGGCGAGATTTTGTGTGATCTGTGTTCAGGGTTGTGATATGGGTTTGGAAGTTAAGGCGAAGTCAGAGGGGGAGAGAAGGGCGATTCATTAGAGAGCAGCAGCAGCAGCAGAGAGAGAGTCATCAGAGTGGTAGGTGAGAGGGGGCTGAGTTGCTGGCGGGGGCGATGCTTGTCGCGACACCATGACTTTTTGAGTCAGGTTCGCTACGATAAGTCCAGGCAACGTCGGGGATTCTAACAGACAGAGTGGACTTCTGTTTTCTAGCCATACGCATGGACGGTTCTTTATCACGTCTCTAGTTGTATGTACAGTACAAATCCTCAGTTGTTGATGGCGAGAAATCCCCCTGTTCATCAAGGCGCTAATGCGGGGTTGGATGACTCGCCGTGGATCGGGATCTTTGCGGTCTGACTTCGGGTGGCTTCTCCACTTTCATCGTACCAGAGCTACTTATTCAGATCTAGAAGATAATTTAATCCTATAGATACCTCACAGAACCCCCATATTTTGTGTATCTTGGTTCTTGGAATAAAGTAAGTCTTAATATCTTTAGCTTCACCAAGGAACTAATTAAAGAGAACATTATTGATCTTTTTATGCCTTTCAACTTTGAGATTACTTTACATTGGTCATAAAAATAAGGTACATAAGATTCTTATTGAAATTTGTATTGAACTTGTAAATATTATTCGATCACTAACAGATAAACGAAGTGGTGTTTTCAGTTTGTAACCTATCTAATCTGATCATCAGTTTATGTATGTCTCGCGTGAGGTGGTACCTCCGGGATAAAAAGACGCTATGAAAGTGCTTCTGCTCTCGAAGGCAGAGAACGGAAGCACCGTTGACTTGTCTAGCTTGATTCAGACTTGTTCATCTCACAGAAAAAAGCAGCCAATTTTAAATTCAGGGTATCTATATCTGTATCTGTATCTGTGTATACATGTCAATAAATAAAAGCCTCTATGCCTTCTCCGTCTGCCGTCCCTTCCGCATAGACGGCAGGAAAAACGCAGGATACACGACGGTAAGGGCGGCCACTCCCAACGCGATCATCCTATCACACATGTTAGCCAAGTACCCGTGCGCACTCGAATGAAATCAACATACATTCCATCCAACACCAAGAACTCGTCTTCCTTCTGCATTAGGGGATTACCCCATCCACCGGCCATCTCGGGGATACTGTCCAACAAGAGCATCGTTAGCAATCATCTTATTGCTGTAAGCTCAACAACAAGGCAAAAGGAAGAGCCTACCGATAGATACACCGAATCAACACGGTGAAATACGCGAAGATCTCCGCATAGATAACCAGACGTATATGCTTCACCCCCTCCACGTTGAGATCACCGCCCAAGCCAGGCCCATGCCGAACGACCCGAATGAAAAACTCCAGCGCGATCAGCCCGCACACTGACATGGTCGCCACCTGGAACGCGATACCAGCGATGATGATGTCGTCTCCGACCTGCAGGAGGGTCTGGTCCGTCTTGCCGGCTGCGGCGGCGACACCACCTCCGGCCGCCTGGAGGACGAGGGACCCGACGTCGCAGCTAATAAAGATCCAAGTGAAGAGGCGCGGTTTGAGGCGCGAGTACTGCGGCCCCAGCGACAGGACGATGTGCTTGAGGGTGAGATAGATGCCCGCGGCGACGAAGGTGGGCGCTAGCACGAGGCAGACGATCTGCAGCTTGAATGCGTCCTCGTTCCACGGGTTGTAATGCATTTGTATGCGACCGATATACCCTGCCAGCTCCATGAAAGTGCCGATGACCATGGCGATCGTCAGCGTCCAGGCGCGGAAGTAGATGCCGAATCCCAGCTGAAAAACTCCCAGGATGCCGTAGAAGACCGCGAAGAAAATGTTGCCGCCGAGATTGGGGTAGTAGCCGTAGGTGGTCGCCTCGACGGGGCATTCTAGCGAAACCTTTTCGCAGGTGGCGTAACTCATTGTGATGGTTTTGTAGAGTCTTGCCGACTTCAAGATGTGAGAATATCTGCTGATTGTCTATGTAATCGTGATGGACGTTTGAAAATCGACAAGAACAGAATGAGGGAATAAAAAGCTCTACCGGCAACGCGATGCAGGAACAACCGTTATGATAAGCAAAAGAACGACAAAGAAGAAAGGAAGAGATGGACGTGTTGTCTCCGAAAGGATTGATGTTCGTAATCTGGAGGCCTGAGGGGGGATCAGACCTATTTCAATACGGGGAATTGTTTAAATTGGTTCCTTAACCCCGATTTGCTGGCGTTTTGATGACTGGTGGATCGATATCAAGAAAAACGTGGTCGATAACCACGGTGATTGGATCGCTTTCGCTCTCGTTCTCGTTCTCGTTCTCGCAAGGCCCCACAAGCGGGGAGAGCCGATTGACTTTTTCGACCTCATCTTCGGCTAATTCAGGTCAACACGCATTAATCAGCGCTCTCTCTTCTCGGTTCCAAGGTCAAAGAAGCGGTGGGAAGTAACGTGATTTTAAATGTCTTCACAAGCGTCGATATCTGCATTAAATATCGCAGCGAATGGGGCAGCTGCATATGACAGCTGGGGCGGACGGCCAGTCTATTCGAAGACCTCCAGCTCGTTAAGTCGAAATGCATGGAGGCTAATTTAACCTCGGCGCCAACGTTTTTCCCGGTTCATCAGCTATACATTCTCCAGGCCGGATCTTGTTGCCGTCGTCTTTCTAGAACGACATCATCGTTTATAACAACAACCTAATAAGATCCGGATGCAAGATGGTATCCAAGAGCAAATCGCCTATCAGATCACTCCTTCTCAGTTGCACCAGCTTCTACCTCGTGATCTATATATCTCAATTCAGTCAGCTTCATTCTCCTGACGTGGTAAATTGATTGACAACATACCTGACCGTTCAGGCCTGAAAGAAAGAACATAGAAGATGGCCGCCGTGTAGATGGACACAACGATCGTCTGCCCCAGGCATCCCGTCACCAGGAGTTCTGTCCATCCATCTTCGTAGCCATCCCACACTATATCAACTATCTCAAGAACCCCAATCGATACATACGCCATCAGTGCGATGACTATGTTGTAGCTAAGCCCGGCCATCCGGACGCAGAACCAGATACTGAACGCTGGTGGGGCTGCGTGGAACAGCGTGCGCCAAAAGGGGGCCCATGCCGGCGAGGGAGGAAGCGAGGACAGAATATCTGGCATCTTGTTGGACATGATGTCGAAAAGTATCGGGAGAGGTCCTCTGAGCATGTACTGTGTGGTGATAACAGTGCCGATCCAGAAAAGTGACGACAAGACCGTCTGAAAGTCCCCCATGGCGTGGTTAGGTCACAGAACTCTTTATCGACTTCGATATTCTCAGTTCTCAGAAAGGATGATACAGGATGAATGATGAGGGTAATCGAAGCAAACTACTGCTGTTATCACACTGCGTATGTGAATCAAGGAGGTTGAGGGGTATTCAATACCTTCCCTCCTTCTTGTAAGGCTGACCTCTGACCCTACTCCTTTATTGAGTGCCCACAGCAGTATACATTAGCTGCGCTGTGCGGGGAGTTGAGACGAAACCTTACAAATCCCCATTGGAAGCTTGGCTGAGGCTCTGGGCTAAAGTCAATAGTCTCGAAGAGACCCCAGGGGTTGGACAAGTTCTGCGATGGACCTGGCAATCTGATTGCATCGTCGCTTGCAGTCGACCCACTGCTCTTTAAGGTGGGTCGGCTCGCCCCCAGCGCCGGCGGGTGTGGGACAACGCTTCTGAGCTCACTGGTAGAATATCTGAGATATTAGACAGCATGCATTAGAGGATTTAGCCTTGGGTACTGAGAAAATATGGGGCCTCATGTGCCAAGTCTAGAATTTTTGAGCTCTGACAGGACAAGACAATGCTGAAGGCGCATGTCTGCGCCCATCTGATGTTGATAGGTTGTTTGTTGACATTGCTGAACCTGTGTTGGGAAAAAGTCAGGATGGTCTTATGTGCTATTTGGATTTCGAAGACATGAATAGACCGAATAAAGGACATAATAAGCTGAAAGTGCTTCAAAAGCCCAACCTTGAAGGCTGTTGCTGCAGTCGGAAAGAGAGATTCATACTCAAGCAGTGGCTTGTTTAGTGGCCGTAGTGGGTAACATAACCTTCCAGAACCGCCAGCCGACGGATAAGTCCGATGCACGTGACCTCCGCCGACTTTCCCGGCGTGTCTCGCTCTCTCCCCACGTGGGAGCATCACCGTTAATTTGTCTCCCTCAGCAACCCCGTCGAAATGGAAGATGCCGCCTCGGAGGACCCATACAAAGTCACGCAATGGCTGCGACCAGTGTAAAAAGCGCCGAGTCAAGGTACGTTGAGTTTCTTTTCCTCCGCCTCTCGGATGTGCTTGTCAAATCCCTCATCTCATCCACCACCAACTCCGGACCTCTAATGTTCAAGTATAGTGCGATGAACAAGGCCCACCTTGCTCGAATTGCACCAGCCGCGAGCTCAAGTGTACATACTTTAAGGTTCCAATAGCTCGCAGCACTATAAGTTCACCATCGACCAGCTCTATACCTCCTTCAGTCCCTTCCATCAAAGGATTATCCCCCGAAATCGCAAGCCACAGCCGGACTTTATCCCGGTATGGCAGCTCTGCTCCGCCTAAGTTTGCTAGCACACGAGAGCTGGAGTTGATGCACAAATATGCCACGGAGACCTACCAGAGTCTGTGCAACGAGCCTGTAGACCATTACACCTGGCAGACTGTCATCGCGCGAAAAGCTTTCCAGCATGACTTCCTCATGAGTGGGTTGCTTGCAGTCGCCTCGCTGCATATCGCTGCTACCATGGACCCACCAGAGGCTCTGTCGTATATTGACACCGCATTGGAGTATCATGACCAGGCATTTGCTCCGTTCCGGCACGCAATAGACAACCTGACTCCGGCCAATTGCGATGCTGTCTTTGCGCATTCGGTTATCACCACAGTCATCGGCATCGCCCTGCCTCGGTTATCTTCTGACAGCCAGGAGACCAACACGATGACCGAGAACATCATCGTCGTTTTCGAATTGCTTCATGGTGTCAGCAAGATATACACCCTCAGTCGCGACCACCTGTCCACGCAACTGGTCACTTCTCGAAAGGGATTCTGGGAAACACAACTCTCGATTCTTGACGCCGAGACTGAGACCGCCTTCGATAGACTGACTAGTTTGAGCCACTCCATGCAAGACAGCGTTAGTGAAGAGCAATATCGCATCATCGATGGAGCGGTCGCACTTCTGAGGCGCTGCTTCTGTAGATACAACCATGCTCGCGATATAGCATCCATTCTAGGATGGCTTGCGATGGCTAGCAAGGAGTTTGTGCATGCATTGAGGTGTCGTCAGCCTCTTGCACTACTCGTTCTCATGCACTGGGGGGCACTTCTAATGGAGCTTGATGGTAAAGTGTGGTGGGCAAAGAACTCGGGTAGGGCGCTGGTTTCTGAGCTACTGAGTGCCCTTCGTCCTTGCGATGCACAGTGGGAAGGTGCTTTGCAGTGGCCAGAACGGAAGATTAGAGCTTGATATCGACTGCAACCAACGCGGTATACTCTTCAACAGCACTGCATTAGGCTTTTTGCATGGCTTGTGCCTGCTTTCAACCGAAATCGGAGCACTACCCACAGCTAACTGACCAAAGTGAATCATCACGACATAACATCACGGACAGCCCAAACTAAAGCTTTACTGACCGCAACACTCGCTCCCATGCGTCTGTGGCCCGTTGCTTATTGATCCTGTCTGCATCATGTTGGCATGCTGCCAAACTCAGCGGACCACCAAGCTGCTTCAACCAGAATGACCGACCACAATCAAACAACCAATTGCGTGAGCCAACCTTGACTAGGTCCGCAAGGAAGCACTGCGGAATAGTTCGATCTTTCACAAAAAGTACCGTCGGCAAAGCATGTCGCATGCCTTGTGGGGCGTACGTATCCGCCAACTGCATAATTCCGTCTAGCGTCGTCTTCACATACAGCTGCGATCCGACATGAATGACCCCTCGCGTTCCCGCAACAGCGTGAAGAAGACAGGCATTCGCCACCAGGTCAACTGGCATCTCATCCAACGTATTCGCACCACTGTCATAGCCCTCGGCCGCGTGCCAGGTCTGGGTCTCGCCATGAGTCATCAGAAATAGCGAGGCGAATCTCTTCAACGGGATGGAATTCTCCGGCGCATAGTGTGGATACGGATCTCTGACCGCCGGACCGAAGATGGTTGGACGCACCAGCAACATAGGCAGCGTGGGGAACCGTTTCAGCATCAGCCGCTCCATCAAATACTTCGCATGGGTATATGAAGAGGAGAAGTGCTCGGCGTGCGGGGAACCTTCGCCTCTGAGGATCGCCCCTAGTAGCTCCTCCGGATCATCCTCCTCACCCTTTCCACCCACTTCCACCCCAACAGAGTACAGCTTCTCCGCCACGTGCCCATCCGGCAAGAAACTGTTCACGTAGGCTGTCGACACCTGCACGAAGAGCTTCAGCCTGCGGAACCGCGAGGCGATCTTCGCCATCTCCAACGACGGGAGACAATTGTTCTCCACCGCCTCCGCAACGTCTGCGTCCAGGGTGATTTTGGCGGCCGCGTGGATCACCAGCGTGACCTGCTGGCGCAGCTCATCCATCACCGCCGCATCGATCCCAAAGTCTGGTTTCGTCATGTCTCCAACTACAAAATGAACCTTCCGGGAGCGGAGGGCCGGCTGCGTCTGCACGGGCATCGCCTTCTTCCATTTCTGGATCGCGAGGTCTGGGGACCCCCGGACCAGGACGTAGATCTTGTGGGTGGGGACCTGCACCGCGAGCTTGTAGAGGAGCACGGCCCCCAGCGCGCCGGTGCTGCCGGTGAGGAAGACGGTGTGTTTCTCGAATAAGGTCGCATACCCTCTGCGCTTGATCTCTGCCCCGTGCAGTGAGGGAGCGGAAAGGGGGGCGATGGACATCAGGGATTGCTTTTAGTTGTATATATTGTTGCGTTGTACTTGATCCCCTATCTCCGTGATGTAGCAATGTGCAATGATAACAACTGATGCGGTATCTGCAATGTCTAGACGACAGTAGCTTTCGCGATGCTAGAGCCCTCCTTTGCATAGTCCAGCCACCACAAAGAATAAAATCTAGTGAGCCCTTCCTGCAACCGAGTCGATCAAGTAAAGTTTAGAAAGAACCGAGAGTCGGTGGCACAAGCCCATACATTCCTTACCTCGCAGAGTGACCTACCCAAAGGACTTGGTAGCTACCTAAGTAAGTAGTAGCTACCTCAGCTATACCAGCCCCGTCCTCCCTTCCCTCCCATGTCACATGCCATGAGCTACGAGATGTCGTACAGTCCACACACGCCGAATCTAAAGGACATCATGCCGGAAATCAGATCTCAATTCTCTCCCCACAAACTTGATCACTCACTACATACGAGGTGAAAGTTAGAGTTGGAGCGAGTCTCATTTCCGCTCCGACGAATCACCGCGGCATTTTTCGATTCCACATAAACAAGATGTACAGTACTACACTGTGATTCCCGGGCTAAACACCCCCTTGAATCTCCCCCGCTACCTTCCAGAGAAAGTTGGCTTTGTCTCTCACTTAGCTCCCCAGCTAGGCAGCTAGCTACAGTACCCGTGACTGCTGCACATATCTCATCTCCCATTGTGCTTCTGTCCTACTTTTATATACGGAAAAGCGGGTACGGCGGCTGTATATATTGCCATTCATGATGCTTGAATCTATAGCGGGGATGTAGTATACTTTCGATGTATTTTGAATTTTCCATCTAAGTTATGGGGATACACCTGCGACTGGCTACGTGGAACCATTCAAGTCACGCTTTCCGTGCTGGAAAGCTAGGAGAGCTATGGCCGAGGGGGGGAGGAGCAGGGTGCCCATAATGTGATGATCCAATCTCACGTGAAGAGCGCACATGTGCGACGTGACTGAATTGTAACATTGGAACCTCATTAATGAATGGGCCATTCTTGTGTGCGTCCGGTTCCTCTTTTACCCATCGGGTTAGGGGTACAATACAGCAATATGTAACTCAATTGCTCCGTGTATATGTGAAAAAATGGAACAGGTTGCGGACTCCCTTGATTCTTGTACACTCATAAATGACTATAGTACAGTACATATCCGTCGCTACCCCTTCCAGACGACTGCTTGGAACGAATAACCCCATATCATATACCTATTGGCGGACCCTGTTATGGACAGCCACCAAATTGCTGAGAAAATACCCCCCTTTCATAAGAACTTTCATAAGAAGAGAGACAAGAAGGGCGAAAGTTGAATG